GACGTATTCAACTGCTTTCGGCCACTTTCTGTTTTACCGGAAATGACTACAATTTTTTATTTTTAAATGGAACCCTCGGTATTTTTTTACTTTATTCGATAGAAAATAACACTCCGAATAGAATGACATATCATATGCCAACTTTTGACATTTTTGCTTATGATTTATTTGAAATTATAACTTGCGGTTCGTGACGAAAATTTGACTCAAAATACCAAGTGTGTGGTATCAAATTATTTTAATTATTAAAAAAATGCTTTTTCCAAATATGCTAATGAGCCACCCTCGTTCCTTTTGAAAAAATTGAGATATGATTAAAAATACGATTTGAAAATTTTCTAACTGGCCAGGACATTAAAAACATTAGATCCAATCTATTTTTCCAAGGCTCTTTGATTAAGAATTAGTGTTTTTAACATAGAACTGCAACTCTAGATTGAAATCTAAAATACAATTTTTTATTAAGCGAGAATATCAAAAGTTGGCATATAATATGTCATTCTATTCAGAATGTAATTTTCTATCGAATAAAGTAAAAAATACAGAGGGTGCCATTTATAAATCAAAAGTTGTAGTCATTTCCGGTGAAACAGGGAGTGACCAAAAACAATTGAATACGTCAATCAATCCTGATTTATGTCATATACTAACGTACCAACTTTCGGTATTTTATCTGAAAAAATAAAAAAGTTATAGGGGGTGAGCCACTTTTGAGACGCACCCAGTATTCAAAGTTCTTGTTATTACGAAGTATTTTCTTCAGGAGAAATTCAAAACAAAAGACTTTGATAGTTTACCCCTTATAAAGTTGCATGCGATTCTGTCGTGTATTTTGAAGCGAACAATTTTAACTCAATTTTCTTCTATTTTTCTATCAAACGCATAGCACTGTAAACAATGTTCTATTCAGTTCTGCATCATGCGTTTAAAACTTTTCATAACACAATATTCTATTTATAGCTTAAAGCATATTCAACGACACTGCTTTACATTTAAATGTCACTTTTTGTTTCAAAAGGATGCAAATATAAACGAATAAGTACGGAAAAACGCGAGAACTTAAAAGCTGTTTATAAGAAAAAAGTAAGAAGTGGAGGAAACTGCTCATAAATTTAAATGAAAATATTGGAAATTGAATCGAGTATGACGGAACTCGGTCTGAAAGGTTTTTCTTCCAGACGGATTAAAGTTGAAGGCAATTTAGGAGGAAAATGCCGAAGACTAAACTTATTAGGTTATTTTGTTGTCGAGTGCTGAATCTAATTTGAAATCTGAAATACGGGACACAATTCACTTTCGAAAACTAAAGGAAAGTTTGACAATTTCTTGAAGTTTGATGTTTTAGAAAAACAAATTTTTTTCACGTGTTTCTTTAATATAATTTATGAGATGTTTATTGATTTTGTGCAGCTTTCTAAGCTTTATTTTACTCTCCGGACACATAGCAGAGTGTCCGGTATCCCTGTATTGTAGTATGCTTAGGCTGTAAAGCTACAACTAGTCCAGATTTTGTTATGCTACAACTGTCCATGGATCGCTGAGCGATCCATTTCTAACAAACACAGGAGTTAGGCAGGGAAGCGTCTTAGCGCCTCTCCTATTCAACATATTCATGGCAGCGCTCCCTATTATAGTGAACAGAAAAATGCAGGAAAGAGAGATGTGCAACATAAAAAAGACTCAGGGCAAAAACACGTGTAGAATTCATCACAGAACACCAATACGCTGATGACTGCGCTCTGCATCCTAGTCAAATCTACTCCTATACCGGTTGCGTCACAAAAGTGGCTCACCCGTATAACGTATTTATTATTTCAGATAAAATAACGAGATTTGGTATGTTAGTATATGACATAAATTAGGACTGATTGACATATTCAACTGCTTTCGGCCACTTTCTTTTTTACCGGAAATGACTACAATTTTTTATTTTTAAATTTAGGGAATATCTGTAAGACCACGTTAAAGATAACTTTGTACCCTAGACCCTTGCCGCCCCCAGTTCACTAATAAAAATTCAAGTAAATCTCTTTATAATAGTGTCTACATATGGATTTTTTTTATTGAGTATTAAAAAGAGTTGATGCTTTATTTAAAAAATTGACATAGGTATACCGGGTGCGTCTCAAAAGTGGCTCGCCCCTATAATTTTTTTATTTTTTCGGAAAAAAAACGAGATTTGGTACGTTAGTAAATGACATAAATTGGGATTGATTGGCGTATTCAATTGTTTTCGGTCAGTTCCTGTTTCACCGGAAATGACTACAACTTCTGATTTTTAAATAGCACCCTTGGTATTTTTTACTTTATTCGATAGAAAATGACACTCTTGATAGAATGATATATAATATGTCAATTTTGGCATTTTCCCATATGGTTTATTTGAAATTGTAACATGAGGTTCATAACGACAATTTGACTCGAAATACCAAGTGTGGGCTATCAAATTATTCGTAAAAAAATGCTTTTTCCAAACATGAGCCACCTTCGTTTCATTTGAAAAAATTGAGATATCATTAAAATGCCATTTGGGCTTTTTTTAACTGGCCGGAACAAGACAGTAAGAACATTAGACGATCACATCTATTTTTCCAAGGCTCCTTGATTAAAAATTAGTGTTTTTAACACAGCCGTGGCACTCATCACAGATTGGAATTTAAAATACAAATTTTATTTGAGCGAATATGTCAAGAGTTGACATATGATATGTCATTCGATTCAGAGTCTCATTTTCTATCGAATAAATTAAAAAAATACCTAGGGTACCATTTAAAAATCAAAAGTTGTAGTCATTTCCGGTGAAACAGTTGAATACGTCAATCCGAAAACAATTGAATACGTCAATCAATCCTAATTTATATCATATACTAACATATGAAATCTTGTTTTTTTATCTCAAAAAAAATAAAAAAGTTATAGGGGTGACCCACTTCTGAGACTCATCCGGTATACTACTACCTACTACCTACTACTATTCGTCTTACAGTGCCATACTCTATATAGAGCATCGGCTACCTCTCGCATGTACTTGTGATGTGTGTCATCAGTGTTTCTCAAGTACACGGGACCTACAATTTATTGCCGAATCCGAACGGCACTATACTATATGAGAGGCTGTACAAGGCAAATCAAGGTAGTTTGCCATTGCCTTCCTTGAGGTGGCGCATGGCGGCTCGTTGGTCGCTTTATTTAGATAAATAAATATTTTTATTTAAATAAATAAAGCGACCGTACTGGCTAGGGATCGAACACACTTAACGCTGGAGCTACGGCCGGCCACCGAGACAACTTCTATTACATATTTTTAAATGAAACATGAATTTTTCTGCTTTTCTCTTGCGAGTTTTTTTGGGATAATTATACTTAAACGCGCTGATATGCAATTTTTAGTGGGCTGACTATTTAGTTGCAAAAGGTAAAACAATACATCCTTATGGAACCAATCGATAATCCGAATATTTGATTGCATTTTTAGTCGGCCGACTGTTTAGTTGCAGATTTATAACAAATATACTCTTACGGAGCCGCGCTCACATGCAATAAAATAGTCGATCAATCGGCTACATAAATATGTATTGTTTTCACTTTTGCAAATAAATAGTCGACTAAAAATTGCATGTCAGCGCGAAGGCTTATTGTTTCCAATATTTCCCTCCTTTACAGTATCCAAGCTATTTAAAATGTCAGAGAATTCAAGGCGTCTTATTTTTCAAATAAATATTTTTTTTAGAAAATATGCGATAATTGTTTTGAATAGTTTATTTAGTATTTTACTGATATAAAATCGAAAAATGCCAAACAATCACGCTGACACTTTCCGTTTGTCACTAAAGTTTCAAAAAAAGTCATACTATACTGTAAATTCATTTACCCAGTAGTAGTTATAAAAAGCATTTTTGGTAAACTCTCTCTCTCTATTCTGAAAAAAAAATATTTTTTTTAAAAGGTCCGATTAAATTTATATCTCCGAAACTAAAGTTTCAAAAAAAGTCATACTATACTAGAAATCCATTTACCCAGTAGTAGTTATAAAAAGCATTTTTGGTAAACTCTGGTCTCAAATAGTTTCTGAAAAAAAATTATTTTTTTTAAAAGGTCCGATTAAATTTATATCTCCGAAACTAAAGTTTCACAAAAAGTCATACTATACTAGAAATTCATTTACCCAAACGATCAAGCAAACGGCTGACTTAGAAAATGAAAAAAAGTCCAAGTTCGCCCACATTTTTATTTTGTCAGATTAATTAAATAAGAAAAATAAAAAAAAGAACCCAATAATCCCAAAGAAATGCTTGTCCACCTGTCAATTATAAAAAAGATTCAATAGACGTCTTATCTTTTTTGTTTTCTGTAGCTACGTGAAATTAATCAATAAATGCTTAACTTTCTGAGTTAGTTTCGAAAATGTCTTCTTAATGCACCCCTATACACTTTATAAAAGCATAAAATTGAAAAAAGAAAATATTAAATAGAAAATAATCTAAAAACCATTTATTTTTCCAGATCGATAAAACTCTAGTAACGGAAATATCGAAAGAGATGGCGCTGGTTTAATATTATCCAGATCTTTATTCCAGAAACCGAACTTACTAATAGTAGGTATCATTTTAGCCGATGGAAGAATAATATTGATCAACTAATAAATATGAGGTTTCTGCGTATACTTTCAAAGCTTGATTATAGATGGCGCCTTAAATAGGTTTATGTAATTTTTTTATTCTTATCAAGAGAATGGATTAACTTCCAAAAAGAATATTATATATTTGTCCATTTAAACATTAAGTTATAAATTATAAGAAAACAATACTAAAAAGATTGGTAAACATTTTTTTAAAACAAAATCCAATAGTTTGACCCTGTTTAATTAGAATTTACAGTTATATCACGCCTATCCCAAATAAAGCATATTAAAAATTAAAATAAATGTTACTTAATACCTTAATCACCTAAAAAAAGTATTATCAAAATATCATTGAGCACGTTTAGAATTGATTTTTATGTAACTATTCAGTATAAAAGCGCCAGACTACTGTAGGAAAGGCATCAGAAGCTAGGCAACTGAAAAAGAAAAAATCAAAAATGAATCAAAAACTCTTTTCGATTTTGTTCTGTGCTCTCTTGGCCGGAAGTCAAATCCATGGTAAGATTTTTTTTTACTTATTGTTATTATTAATATATTGATAACGCTTATGAGATCCCATTTTAACTGTTGTTATTTGTCTTGTACTGTTTGCTTTCACAAGTCCATAAAACCCGAGTTATTTGACTGACAATTTCCAAAAAAAAATATTTTTTGCTTAAAATTTGAGAACCACTGGATCTTCTCTGGGTTTTCTTTCTTGTAAATTTAATCTATTACCTATGTTGCCATATTATCAAGAAATCATGTTTTTTAATTAAAACCTAAAAAAATTCTAAAAATTTCTTTTAAAAAATTCCAAATTTTCAAAATAAAAACCGGGAAAAAAATCTCATAATCGTGTTTCTGGTGTCGAATTATATTACTACTAAAAATATTTGCACTTATTTAAGACTCATCCCAAGTAGCATCTATCTGACTTCGAACTAAATCTGACCTGAAGCGACGTCAGACTTTGTGCAAATTTAGGTCGGGTGCTGGTGATACGACCGGTGATGTCGCTTTCTTATTAAAAGCGACGTCGTTGGATCCGAGTCGGTAAATCCAACGATCTGTCGACGTACAAACTAACAACGTGCCATTTTTATTAATTTCCCAACGTCGTTCCCACGTTGGCTTGCACGACGTACATATACTTGAACTAGCCCGACGTCTACCCGTTGTTCGAATAGGATACGTCTCACTGATAATCTCTAAAGTAACGTCCAATTATATTTTGTTGTATTTTATGTTCGTATTTATAACCTAATTTACGTATCTCTATTTACGTCCGTAAATACAACCCATTAAGTAGCATTTGCGACCTAATGAACATCATCAATATAACCTAATAAAAAGTTTTTGTAAACATACTTAATTTTTTTATTATGCCTGAAAAACACTAAAAAGGCATTTAGACATTCATCTACATTTTACAGAAAGAGGTCGAGGCTTTTGCAAAATAACAATAGTAGTAGTGATGTCTTGCCTCCACCCATAAATGCTTTTTATCCGGAAGAGATGCTGCATTACACTGGTGCATCTTAATTTCATTTTTTAGCTTAGGAAACCAGCAGACTCCATCCTCCTCCCACATGTGAGGTTAGGCTTAGTGGCTGCCCATTTTTTTAAGGAGAAAACAAAAACTAAAATATAGTTGCACAAATCCACAAATAATTGATACGCAAAGTCAGGTTATGTGGCATACGTTGGAATTATATACGTCATAATACGACTGCCGGTCGTCCGGTTTGATGACTTCGGTCGTGTGAGACGACTAATGTTGGAGACTAATGGAGACCCGGTCGGAATAGGTATATTGGTAGTTCATATTAAGTCGGACACAGAAATCCACCATTCTTAACAAGTATCAGATTGTCAGCCATTTTAAAATCGTTTTTTGTTTTTAAAATTTATATTCACATTTCGATTTCTAGTAGAATAATATTGATAAGGTTGAGTTTGGGGGGAACCACAGTACAGTTTTATGATTAAACCGGCTAGAAAATTTAAAAAATATTTTGCGAGATACTTTTTTATAGATATTTTTATTTCATAAATCTACCTAATTTTGAAGGCGCTCGTTGTTTTCCGGAGTATTTTAATCAGATATATAAAAAAGTGACTTCCGTTGACAAAACTGATGTGTGGATTGATGATTCAGAATTATTATATGAAATTAGATAGGCACTTATAGTTATATTCGAGGAGTGATTATGAATCGATTTGTAATTAGGTAGTTTGGTTAGGTTTTTATGTATTCTTGGCAGCGAATATGAAACCAAACGTAACGTAAGTGCTTAGCGACGAATTTTAAGTAACTAAAATCCAACGTAATATGACGTTGGAAATTGGTAGGATTACATTCCCTATTAGGTCAGATACCGACGTCGAGGCGACCCGAATCTGTATTCCCCAATTAGGTGCAAATAAGGGTCGTCAGGCGGTCGAACCGACGTTGGTACCCGACGTCGGGTTTATTGAACGCGACGTATACCCGATGTTAGATAACGTCCAAATGCTACTTGGGATCCTGCATAGTCCAAGTAAACTAACTGATTTTCTCTATAAAATATCTACCAAATATCGTAATTTTACCATAGGAAGAACAATTTAATTTTCATTCTAGACATTTTATTATAATTATAGCGACACTCTCTTGCAGTTTATTATAGTTATAATATTATTGCTGGTAGATCTCGATAAAAAAAAACAATTTTTACCGTTTTTCAAATAAATCCAAAATAATCGAGTTATTTTGCTTTAAAAATTTCCAAAAAATGATTTTTTGCTAAAATGCTGAGAATCGCTAAATTTTTTCTGGATTTTCTTTCTTTTTTTTTTGTTTCTGGGATCGAAATATACTACCGCTACAAAGATTTGCACTTATTTAAAACTCACCCCGTATAAATGCTTATTCGATAACATTATTCGATCAGTACTGACATATTTTCATTTTGTTTCTCAGAGACATTCGCTTACGCACTTGGAGCATATGGAGGCTATGATGGCTATGAATATGGTGCTGCTCCCTACGCTGCAGCCCCACTTGCCGCAGCCCCGTTAGCCTCAGCTCCCTATGCCGCAGCTCCTTATGGATATGATGGATTTGACTATGGATACGATGGTGCTTATGCCGCTGCTCCTATTGCCGCAGCTCCTATTGCCGCAGCTCCTATTGCCGCAGCTCCTGTTGCCTTAGCTCCAGCTCCAGTTGCCTACGCTCCAGCTCCAGCTCCAGTTGCCCTCGCACCAGCTCCAGTTGCCTACGCTCCAGCTCCAGCACCAGCTCAAATTGCTGTCGCTCCTGCTCCAGTCGCTGTAGCTCCAGCTCCTGTTGCCTACGCACCAGCTCCAGCTCCAGTTGCCTACGCTCCAGCTCCAGCTCCAGTTGCCTATGCTCCAGCTCCTGCTCCAGTTGCTTTAGCACCAGCTCCTGTTGCCTACGCTCCAGCTCCAGCTCCAGTTCCAGTTGCAGTCGTTCCAGAACCAGTTCCTGTTGCCCCCGTTGTCGTAGCTCCAAGTCACACCATCGATGAGGCAGTCCAAGGTGAATCTAGACTTTGGGAACAGACTAATACCGCTTTGCAAAAAGCCTCCAACCTTTTGGCTTCCAGAAGAGAACACTGGTAAACTAAAATTTTGTAAATTGTCTATTAAATAAAGTTGCTTTATCCATGAGTTTATATATTTATTATCCATTATCCATTTATTCAATAATATACGAAGTAAATTTTGGATTACTACGGATATTTTCCTATAAACCAAAATCAAAGAAAAACTATCGATATTACCTAAAATAATATATTTATACATAATATATTAAATGAAGTAGCTGCAGATACTCTTATAGATCCAGTTACTGTAGCTCTTGTTTTAATTGTCGTAAACATAAGTTACAGTGTCTTAAGTATTATTAAGATATTTATTAAATGGAAGACAAAAAGTCCTTAGAACAGTTTGATTTCAAACATCACTTAAGAATAGATCTCTAGACTTACTACCTCATATATAATTCTACAAAGACTAAAAGTCACTAATACTTGTAGTACTTATATTTATTAGAATGTAAAATGAATGGGAGGGAGGTTAATCACTGCTACCTTACAGATCTATTGTGTCCCGCCTTCTTGAGTTATAACTCATCATAGAGTTTCAGGCCTTTGACAAAGCCAGTATCTCAGACAGTTTTACAAAGGGTAGGGTAGTTCTCCATCCGACCGATATCAGTCGTACCAAAGTTGACAACCATTCTATCTCGACGACAGTCTAGGCACACTCAGTGATGAGACGTTCTGGTATTTCCCCACAGAATCTGCACTCGACCTTATTTCTTCGCTTCCATCTACTAACGTGTTCACTGAGAAGACTGTGTTCTGTTAAAAACCCCGTAACAATCAGAAAATTGTACTTACTTAAATCAAGAAAAATCTTTGATTTTTCTCGGTAATAAGTCATGAGAAACTTCTTCGAGTGTCTTAGACTGTTGCAGGATTACCATTAGGCCTTTTACATAGCTTTGCTATGAGGATTGTCTCGGAGAAGGTAGGCGAAGAAGCTGCATTGACTGCTTATTATGCTTTTGTGCAATCTAAGATGAGATATGGCTTGGTAATTTGGGGAAATTATACTGATATAGGTAGAATATTTCTGCTACAAAAAAATGTATTCGAAATATATTTCGGATGTGCCGTTTAGAAAGCTGTAAGAGTGTTTTTGTAGAGAAGGGTATATTGACGCTGAGAGGTATGTATGTTTACGATGCCTATATGTTTCTGATCAGTAATAGAGATCTCTTTGCAGGCTTTGTTAGTGATCACGAGTATGATACCAGAAATAAATATAATCCTAGGAACTACAATTTTACTTATATACAAAAGAATGCTGAGTTTTCGATTATAAAAATAATTAATAGTTTCCCTGAAGAGTAGCAGGCCATGTCTCATGCAAAGATAAGAACTATACTAAAAGATTATTTAACCAAAGAGGCGTACTATAGCTTGACGGATTTCCTTTTCCGATTCGCATATCTCACTTTGTAGTGAGCCTGTTTTTTGTTTGTAGTAATTGTAATGTGATGTGGGCTTTTGAGTTAGTTGCTGGCTACTCATATAGTGCGGTTAGAAAGACTATTTATTTGAACTGTACAATAATGTTCGATTCATACATTTTATATTTTTTGTTGTCAAGTGTTATTCTCCTTTGTCTTCCTTATTTAAGTGTATTTATTTGTGTTTTATATTAAGTCTTAAGTTTTGTTTTTTGCTATTTTCACAATGTTTCATGCCTGCGCGCTCTTGTAACTTTTGGTTAATCGAAACAAATAAATGAATCATTCCAAGAGCACATTTTGAGAAGGAAATATACTCACTAGATTACTTTTATTTATATGTGATTACCAGATTATTGTATCAAATAAATTGTATTAATTAATTAAAAATCATCAATATAGCCCCTCAGTACTATTTTTTGTGTATTAACTTCCTTTTATTAAATAAAATTATCTTATACAGGGTGGTCTTAAATAAGTGCAAATATTTTAAAGGGCAGTATATTTTGACCCCCGAAACACGTCTATATTCTGTTTTTTTTCTGAGGTAAGATTTCGACAGACGATGACAGAAAAGAAAAAAAACAGATGACGTCCATGTCTCTATTTCTTTAACTAAAAAACGTTTCTAATATTTTTTAAGTTAACTATGGATGGGTTTATATATAAATCCGTCATGCGTCATCTCTTGTTGTTTTTAACCAGTTTTATTGGTTGATTTCAAAAATGACAGATCATATTTCAATATTATTGGCTTAACAGAACGATGAACGACAAACGGACGCCGATGCGTATGAACTCGACTTAAGATTTTTGAGAGTTGTCAAACTCTTGCTAAATTATAGGTTATAATTTTGTGTCAAATTATGTCAAATAGAAATGATAAATATTTTGCATTTTGGATTGTGTTATTATGTGTGTTTCGTGTTTTTTTTTAAATTAAGTGGAGGAAAACTCGGAGGAAATTAAGTGTTGACCCAGACCATAGTTAACAGTTAATATTCGGTGCTCAGAGACAGTTTGCCAGAGATTATGGCCAGAGAGTTGTATTAGCCACAAATAAAGTTTGTATACTATCTAGTATCTGATACCAAAAACTGGAGTATCTGTATAATAGCAGTACACGATAAGTAAATAATAATCATATTGAATAATTATATTAATAAATGTAACAATAAATGCAGGAAGTTGCTTGAGCTTGAAACACGGCTTGAAAGCAAGAAATCTTTTTTATATCTTTTTTTGGTATATGGTGTTTTTTTTTTATAATACACCCTTGCTTGTTTTGTATTAACACATACTGTAATTGTTTTTAATAAAATAACTCGATTAGATTTTTTCAATTTTATACAGTTTTTTCACAATATTTTAAAGTCATTTGTCAGTCAAATTTTAAATATATTCATTTTTTGCTATGCGTTCCAATTCTACCAACTTATTTCTTTGTGAAATAAAATAAACTACTTTGAAAATAAAATGACAAACACATCTATCACTGTCAAGGATCTTGTCGTTGGACAGACTATATTAGGCGAAAAAAAAGTTTTGAAATTCTTCGGAAAAAACGTTGGATTATTTTTTAATTTTTAGTTGAATAGTAAGATATCTTTTTTTTAGACTTATTTGAAGAAGGTAAAAAGGTAAATGGTAAAATGGTAAAAAAGGCTTTATGCGAAAAGGCTTATCTCGATTTTTGCTATTTTTCAAGAGAGTCAATTAATAAATAATAAGAATTACTAAATTCCAGTATTTGAGATGGAAAAAAGTATTTGAGATGGGAATTTTAAATGAATATAAAATGAAAAGGATATCTATAATATTGAGACGCGCTAATTTGCCATACTAAAAAATAAACCATTGAACATTACAACATGACGTTGATATATAAAAATTTCCAAAAATCGAGATACGCCTTTTCGTCGTAAAGCCGAGTATATGAATATGGATATGGAGGATATGTTTGTTTTATCGAGATCTACCAGCTATGAAAATATTGGCACTTATTTATGATTGACCCAGTACATTAATTGTTCTTTTGTTGTGGAAAAAAAATTAACTATAAAAAGTTACCGTATGATTGAAAAAAACCGACATCCAGTTGGCTTGGAAATGAACATCGATGACATTTCCTACATAATTTTACATATTAAATGACAGCGGACATCATTTCGCTGACGCTGTTGTTTCTTTTTTCGATCATACGCTATCTTCTACATACTGATTTTATTGAACAAAGCATCTGAAAACTGTTATATTGTCTGTCTTCACTGAAAACGGTCAATAGACAGCTGTATCAGTTGTCTCATATGTCTTACACTTTCTGCAAAATTTTTCTAGTTTGCTTATAGGGAAATAATAAAAAAAACAGTACCGAAAAAGAAGCCGAAAAGGTCGAGGAACAAAGTGGTCTTTGTACAGGCCGCTCATCTACAGTTAATACATTTGTGCTAAGTCGAGAGCTAGAAATTTCTAAACTAAATTTGTGCCAGAGAAACGAATAGCTAGAAACCTTCAGACGTACCTTGTCTTCATAGACTTAAGAAAACCGTATTACAGTATTCCTCCTAACAAATTATGGCCCCCTCTGAGAGGGAATAATGTCAGTAAGATTAATATTAAGGTAGTCAAATGTTTTTATAGCGGCGAAATACCCCTACGACTTTTTTGAAGAGATGAACCCGCTACAGAGATATAGACATTTTTAAGTAAACTATTTACTCTGAATTTCGCTGATTTCCAATTAGCTGAAGATGACGACTTTAAGCACATAGATGAAGATTACACAAATGGGGCCTAACCATAAACACTGACAAAACTGAATATATTGTAGTTGGAAACTTACAAACGAAACTTCAGATACAAAAAGGTAGTTAACGTTGTGAAATAATACAAATACCTTGGCTCGGTCATCCCTAGCGATGGCTTCAGTACTTAAAATATTAAGAACAGAATAAAGCAAGGGAGAATTGTAACTGAACAGCTAAATCTGTGGAACAACAAAATAAAAGATGCTACTAAATAGAAAAACAATAATTTTTACCAAATTCGTTAAAAAAATGACAAGAAATATTTTTAAAATCAAAATTGTTCAGTTAAATATATGTTATGATGCGATCTACAGCAATATCACGTATATCATATAAATTACCGTTAAATTTAAGATTATAATTTATTATATTACCGTTACATTTTAATTATACAAAAATAGAATTACCAGAATAAGATAGGGCATGTTTAGATTGACGTTTATGAATTTGCTTAGTATAAAAACGTTGAATTTTTGTTGGAAAGGCATCAGAAGCAGCCTGAGCAATAGACAAAAATGGTTCAACAATCCGTTTCACTCTTATTCTGTGCCCTTTTGGCCACCAGCCTAACTTTTGGTAAGATTTCTTTTAAATTTATTATTATTATGTTTATTAATGCTTTAATATAATAGTAACAGCATAGCATGTACTAACTTAGGCTAACTTTGTATGTACGATGTACATTATTTATTTTCTAATTTTGGGAAATACAAAAGAAATTGTAATTTCTCTATAATCGTCATTTTCACGCTTTTTTTCAAATATAAATATAAGAAAATATAACTATCGAATACTTAAATAATCTTACTTTTTCCAAATATTTTTTTACCTGTTTTTGTTATTTACTCTAACCACTTTCTGTTTAAATTTAGCAAAATTTCCAACCACAAAGAAAAATATTGTAAGTTATTTCAGCCACTATCTAATATACAAGCCACTTATAATTTTAGGAATCTATAACTAAAATCTCAATTAACGATTTTTAGCCCTCCACATGTAAATTAAGTTTATTTCACCAATAGGTAAATAAATCTATCAATATTAACATATTTCTTTATCGTTTCTCAGAGACATTAGCTCATTCACTTCTGGGAGCCGGAAATTATGCTGCAGGTTACGGTTATGACGGTTTAGGATATGATGGTGTGGGATATGATGGATTAGAATACGCTGCAGCTCCAATTGCCTCTGCTCCTCTTGCTGCTGCTCCTCTTGCTGCTGCTCCTCTTGCCGCAGCTCCTCTCGCCGTAGCTCCTCTCGCCGCAGCTCCTCTTGCCGCTGCTCCTCTTGCCGCAGCTCCTTTTGCCGCAGCTCCTCTTGCCGCTGCTCCTCTTGCCGCAGCTCCTATTGACGCAGCTCCTATTGCCGCTGCTCCCTACGCCGCTGCCCCTCTTGCCGCTGCACCTTTTGCTGCTGCTCCTTATGATTTTGGATATGATGGTTTAGGATATGATGACTTCGGATATGATGGTTTTGGCTATGGATACAAAGCTCCTTTCGCTGCAGCTCCCTATGCCGCAGCTCCTCTTGCCGCTGCTCCCTATGCCGCAGCTCCTCTAGCTGCAGCTCCCCTTGCCGCAGCTCCCTACGCCGCAACTCCCTATGCTGCAGCTCCCTATGCCGCAGCTCCCTATGCCGCTGCTCCTCTTGCCGCAGCCCCAATTGCAGCTGCTCCAATCGCCGCAGCACCTGTTGCTCTAGCTCCTGCTCCTGCTCCAGTGGCTATAGCAGCAGCTCCATCTCACTACATCGACGAGGCAATCCACGGTGAATCGAGTCTTTCGGGACAGACCAATACTGCTTTGAAAAAAGTATCAAACTATTTGGCTTCCAGAAGAGACAATTTTTAAAATGAAAAATGTGTAACGATAATATAAAATAAACTTGCTCAATCTATTATAAACCCGAGTTTTTAATATTCCTAATAAAGTTAAGTTTATATCTATTAGCATGCAGTTAAAATTTGGAGAGTTACATTAGTCATCAGTAGAGTTATACTAAATTTAGTAATATTGTTAGTAAAGAATAGCAATGCTATACTCGTATACACAAAAACTATTTTAAACTGCTTTCTCCAGTATTATTTTTATTGGAATGTCTTTAACGCTAAAACTAGGTAATAAATACTTCATTTACTATTGAATTAATATAAAAGCTTATATAGTTTTGGTAGCGCTAACCATAAACAGAGTCATAACTCTCTTGGGACATTATTAACGGGAATTAAGGTGCATAATTTACTCTACCTTTTGTAGGTAACAACCATAAAATACAATAAAGATTTTGAGTAAATATTCTAATAATTTATTTACATGATTAATGTCACATATAATAAACTTACAAGAGACCAGTTTTATCGACATCCCCTGCTAGAATATTTTTCTGCTCAAGACACTGAAGATATATTTTATATTCCTTTCGGTAAATGGATTCACTTTTAGGTGGAAGTAACGCTGTCGTACTTCTTCAGATTTTTTTACTATTTCCTCCATTTTAATGGAAATATACTCGAACGTAAACTAAATTCGTGCGAAAGGCGTTTTTTTGACAAAAAAACTGAACTCCTTTTACTAGAAACGTCAATTTGTAAATAGAGCTTATCTAATAATAAAACAATAACCTAGCAACTAGCAAAGTTCCTACCAGCAGCATTAATACAACTATATCAGAAGATTAATAAACGCAACATTTGTGCCGTTTTAAAATGGGACAAAATATACTAAATTCAGTAAGAAATCAAATTATCTACAGGGTCCGGCAATAGTGCGTCGGGCATCTGTAGCTCATAAAATAAAAAACTTGGGAATTTTGTTTAAGTGCAAACCTAAAGTATGTACTAGGATGTATTTCAGGAAAATATTTTGACTTTTATAAAGTGGCTCAAAAAAGTGTGAGTGGATCGGGATGATTTTTTTAAATGGAACACCCTGTATATTATTGTATTTTTTGGGTTCTTTTCAGATCACTTTACATAATCCTAAAACATGAGTAAATATATTTCGATAATTTCAGAGATATTAATAAATAAATAAAAATTATATATTTTTCAGCCTTTCTTAAAAAAATAATTAATAATACAAGAACTGTCCTGAAATCAAAAATATGTTAGATATTTACTTTTGATGGTCTGTACTTACTTTGCTATAAATATGGAAATCGTAAATCATACAGGATGTTTAAAATTCTACGCCAAACTTTCTAAAATATAAAATAATTTTTCTTTGTTTTTTAAACGGAACACCCTGTATATTATTTTTTCAATAGATGGAAAATTAAAAAATAAACATTTTTTGCATTTAGAGTATTTCAAAATTTTTAACGGTTTCGCAGATATTGCTTGCAAAGCCACCCAATGATTTTTCTCTCGTATTTTACCATTGAAAGCGCCATATGAAATAATACTGTGTATCCGGAAAACTATTAAAAATTTTGAAATTCTTTAAATACAAAAAATTTTTATTTTTTAATTCTCCATCGAATAAAAAAATAATATACAGGGTGTTCCATTTAAAAAAACCAAGAAAAATTATTTTATATTTTTGAAAGTTTGGCGTAAAATATTGAACATCCTGTATGATTTACGATTACCATATTTATAGCCAAGTAAGAACAGACCATCTAAAGTAAATATCTAATATAGTTTTGATTTCAGAACAGTTCTTGTATTTTTAATATTTTTTTAAGCAGGGTTGAAAAATATATATTTTTGATTTATTTTTAATATCTCTGAAACTATCGAAATATATGTACTCATGTCTAGGATTATGTAAAATGATCTGAAAGGAACCCAAAAATGCAATAATATACAGGGTGTTCCATTTAAAAAAAATTATCCAGATCCACTCCTACTTTTTTGAGCCACCCTATAGAAGTTAAAATATTTTCCAGAAATACATCCTCATACATACTTTAGGTTTTCACTTAAACAAAATTTTCAAGTGTTTTATTGTAGGAGCTACAGATGCTTGACCGGCACAGCGTTGTGCGCTTTTATAAATTTTCTTTTAATCAAAATATTTTAGAAAACAAGAATATTACAGTTGAGGGTTGGAACCTTTGGTGTTACACAGCAAAATAAAAACACTAAATCACCACAATACACCAAAACACTTTTACTTTCACACTGGACGCGCGTTTCGCTAACCATGTTAGCATCATCAGCAAATGATTATAAACTAAAGTACAATCTACAAGTTGAGCGTTTATATACTCGCTCCGTGGACACCGAGTGGGCGTGGCAAAATCTAGCCAACCGAGTCAGAGCCCACTGAGCGTAACAGTTAGATTTCCGCCACTAGAGTAGTAGGAACAAAGAACTTGAAGGAATTGGGCCGTTGTCTCTGTTCATACCATCTTTACATTTATTAATTCTGATGCTTTCATATGCATCTAATTGCCTGTAATTTGAGACTTGTTTAATTAATTTTAAATTATTAAGATCTATACAATGTTCTTTATCAACAATATGTTCGGCAACGCAAGATTTATCCGGTCTACCATATCTTATCTGAGCTAAATGTTCTTTAAATCTAGTTAATATTGATCTTCTAGTTTGCCCAACATATTTCTGATTACAATCTTTACAAGAAATTTCATAAATACCCGACCTTTCCAGTGGAGGTGTTACCTCCTTTGGATTACCTAATAATTGTTGTAATTTATTATTAGCACTATACACAAGTTTATAATTGATATTCTTAAAAATTCCTTTTAGACCACGGGATAACTCTCTATCAAACGGTATCGAAAAATATTTAGACGTATCTTTCTCCACTTGAAAAGTCGAATTTTCAGAAATCATTAACCTATACCTACGTTTTCTAATTAATTTATCAACTAGTGAAGGAGAATATCCATTATACTCAGCTACATTCCTAATGTAATGTCTTTCTATTTGATATCTTTCGTTGGAAAGTGGGATTAGATTCATAGATTACTTAGTTTCCCACTTTCCAACGAAAGATATGAAATAGAAAGAGATTACATTAGGAATGTAGCTGAGTGTAATGGATATTCTCCTTCATTAGTTGATAAATTAATTAGAGAACGTAGGTATAGGTTAATGATTTCTGAAAATTCGACTTTTCAAGTGGAGAAAGATACGTCTAAATATTTTTCGATACCGTTTGATAGAGAGTTATCCCGTGGTCTAAAAGGAATTTTTCGAGGGGGAATACATATAACGTATTTTTTGAACCACCCCGACCTACCCCTAAGGCGGCACCCCTACTCACTTGAAAATCTTAAATGGCTACACCCAACTTGTGGCGCCTTTTTGGGAAGCCAAGGAAAAATGCTAAACGATGATCATAAAGTTTTTAGGGTGAAATTGAAAAACAACCCCTTACACGAAAAATTAGGTGGACATTAATGAAAAAAGTGATTTTTTCAGCATAAGTTACAAATTGGGACCTAGCTAAATGAGGCAAATGAGGTATTTTTCAAACCACCCGACCCACCCCTAGGTGCTACCCCCTCACTTCTAATCTCAAGATATCGATAGCCCACTTGTGACACTTCTTTGAAAAGTTAATTGAAATTGCTAAACGATGGTCATACAGACTTCAACTTAATTACTGGTAAGTAGTGATAAGAAATATAGGTGTGACAATTTGAAAGAAATTTAAAATGATAATTTATTTTAACAATTGCTCAAAATGACAGCCGTTTTGTTCTATACAAAATACAAACGATTTTCAAATTCTTCTCTCACTTTTTGGAAAGTCTCCACTCGATTGGAGAGTCGGCTACTCGATTCGACCCGAAATTTCCGTCGATGAAAAATGGACCTATAATTTTATCGCCTAGTATTCCGCACCAAATATTGAACTTTTGGGGATGTTGGATGTGTCCAACAACAATATGCGGATTCTCATCACTCCAGTGTTTGCAGTTCTGCTTATTCACATTTCCGTTTAAAAAAAATGAGCACTAATCGCTAAAACAAATATTTTAAGTGAGTGAAGGTTCCCTTTGAATTTCATCCGTCATTAGCTCACAGAACTGAATCCTTCTATCTGGATCGTCGTCGCCAAGTTCCTGCAGAATCTGCATTTTGTAGGGATGGAATTTGTGCATTTTCAATACTCTTCTGACAGATGTTCGAGGTATACCTGTGATTGATGCCAACTGGCGTGTTGATGCTTCCGTATTGACCGATACCTGACCAATAACTTCCATCGGCATTTCTTCATTCAGTACCCTTGGCCCTATCCTTTTTTTATTTTTAACCGATCCAGTTTCTTGAAACTTTAGAATCAAATCTCTAACATAAACGTGACTTAGGTTTTTGTACGGATTTCACTCATTGGAAGCACGGGCCGTTCTCAAATAGCACATACCTTCAGCACCATAAAGAAAAACTATTTGAATTTTTTCTTCCACAGTATAAACTATTTTTCTTTCAAATAAGTGAATCAAATAAAGGTTTAAAGTACTACCAAATTTGCAAACGATTGAAAATCGATAGAAGACAGTGCAAAAACGCAAAGATATGCCGTTTTAAGATTCCTGTTTGTTGAAAGTAAAAAAAATAGATGATAAAGAATAATTTGCGTTATTGCAAAATTAGCCTCAACGATTATTAAAACATCTTTGTGTTGCCTTTTTTATTATCTAATTTTTTTTATTTTTATCTTCAAAATGGCAATGGTTTCAAAATGACATTGATGAGATTAGAAGTGAGGGGGTGGCACCTAGGGATGGGTCCGGGTGTTTTGAAAAATACCTCATTTGCCTCATTTAGCTGGGTCCCAATTTGTAACTTATGCTGAAAAACCAGTTTTTTCATTAATGTCCACCGAATTTTTCGTGTAAGGGGTAGTTTTTCAATTTCACCCTAAAAACTTTATGATCAACGTTTAGCATTTTTCATGGGCTTTCCAAAAAGGTGTCACAAGTGGGGCGTTGCCATTTAACATTTTCAAGTGAGTAGGGGTGCCGCCTAAGGGGTAGGTCGGGGTGGTTCAAAAAACACGTCGTATGTATTCCCTCTCGATATTATAGAAACGGATTTTTTTTTATTTTTTTGATATCTTTTTTGGTTTAAAAATTATAGCCATTGTAAATTTTCAGTGGAACACCCTGTATATATTTATATTATGGCGAATTAGTGTTTTAATTTGCTAAATCTCTGAAGATGGCCGATTATCTACTGCACATCTATAGAAGAGCATTACATCAACAAAAAATAAATAATTCATGTTGTATTATATGAAAAAAAAGTTATATGTAATTTATTGAATATTGTCTTCAGTTTTTGGTATAAATTATTATAATAGTATAACTTATTTGCAGTTAGTAAAAAATGTAGTTAAGTTTTTAATTCAAATTAATTACGAAAATAATTTTGTTATACTGGCACTGCCATCTGTTACAGGAACCAACAATTAAAACGAAGCAACAGTATTTTTTGAAAATTATTTAAAGGTGTAGTTAGACGTAATAAGATGTCGCAACTATCTGTTATAAAATGTTTTTGAAATTTATAAAAATTTATAAAAAAAAATAAATGTAGTTTGACTATTTAATTGTTGTTTGTTGCTTTTGAGGATGAAATTTTATCCTTTTCTCGGTACCTATGATATTGATGTCTAAATTACAGTATGACAGTATCTATATACTAGGTTAAATTCATACCAAGAAAATTGTCTGTGTTTGTGATTAGAAAATGGTTTAGAAAGTAATGCAAAGCAGAAACATGTTTTCACGTATCTGATTTCAGTTATTTTAAAGTCGAAAAAAGGGAATGGTGTATTTCCGCATAGAAATTCTTCTATATACTGGACATTTTGTTGTTTTTCTTATAAGTGATTTCGGCTAAAAAAGTTCACCCTTAAATATCTAATATTTTCGAAGCATATTACATAAATCCTTTAAAATGTTATTAGAACTACTGTTTTTCAGTCAATATAAAGCTAAATAAAATATTAAAAAAAATATAAAAAATATAAACCAAAATAAGTTTGAGTATAATATTTATTATTAAAATCTGTAAAATCACGTCTGAAATAAATTACTTTAAAAATTGTATAAATTTAATGTTACCTAACATATTAATTGCCAAATTGAGTATTATGAAAATAAGATAAAGCAGGTTTAAAAATAAGTTGTGTCATTTTTTTTAGTATAAAAGAGTCAAGATTTTCTTGGTAAGACATCACAAGCTGCGGTAACTGGGAAACATGAATCAACAATCCTATTCAGTCTTGCTCTGTGCCTTTTTGGTCGCCAGCTTAACTTATGGTAAGGTTTTTTTTTATTTTTTTCTTGAAATTATTTTTTTCTTGAAATAATATAGTTAAAGCATCTGTTTATTAGAAGATGTTTCATTTTTCATCGTCATTTCAGCAAAGAAAACAGTTATGTACAAATTCCTTCCCGTTATTCTTTTCTAACTTATACAATTACAGTGTTTCGAGTAATATTTTCTTCAGTACTTTTTTAATTCTGTAAACGTACTTCGATCCATAGCAACATCAGCCCTCGCACTACTCGGACCCGGAAATTATGGAGCAGAATATGGATTCGATGGTTTAAATGACGGTTTAGGATATGATGGCCTAGGATATGACGGTTTAGCATATGATGGGGCTGCACCTTTAGCAGCAGCTTCCATTGCCGCTGCTCCATTAGCTGCATCTCCTTTTTTCGAAGCTTCTTATGGATATGATGGTGCGGGATATGACGACCTAAAATACGAGGGTGCTTTTTCGGGTCTCTTTGCCGCAGCTCCAGCATCAGCTCCCTATGCCGCAGCTCCTTATGCCGCAGCTCCTTATGCAGCAGCTCCTTATGCCGCAGCTCCAATTGCCGCAGCTCCAATTGCCGCAGCTCCAATTGCCGCAGCTCCAATTGCCGCAGCTCCAATTGCCGCTGCTCCTATTGCCGCAGCGCCTATTGCCGCAACTCCATATGCCGCAGCTCCAATTGCCGCAACGCCTATTGCCGCAGCCCCTATTGCCGTAGCAGCCCCTATTGCCATTGCCCCATCTCACTACATTGCTGAAGATATCCAAGGTGAAAGTAGACTTTGGGGACAGAGCAATACAGCTTTGAAACAAGCATCAAAAATAGCGGCTGCCAGAAGAGAACATTGGTAATAAAATATAATTTACATGACAAATATACATAATAAAGTGGATTAATTTATAATAACTGATTTTTTTATTGATACTGCGTCCATCCGTTTTTTTTACTAAAAAATATTTTGTTTCTTCACTTCAGTGCCAAATATTTATTTATTGGCTCATAGGCTTCATCGTCAATGCTGAATGTAAAAAGTTAATAATTGTTATATTATTAAGTAAAATTAGTTATGGAGTGGAATAATGACAGGTTTTAGAGTTCATTAAATATTAATAACCATTAGATAAAGTTCATTAATCATAACAATAAAATATTAAAAGTGTCCAGTCCTGTTGGATATTAATAAAAATAGCAATACATATCTGTACCCCAGAAGCAAACTATATTACGTCACAAAATATAGTTTTGAGAAAAACAAATTTAGTTCAATTTTGAAGTTATTTCCTAATTACTAATGTTATTTTTAAACCTATAATTGTAATATTAGGTAGTGAGTGACTTCATTTGGCATAATTTGTATATTAGAAAAGAAAAACATTTACAGGACCATTTACAGGACCATTTATGCCCCTATTAAGTCCCTATTTATGCCAAAATGAATAAAGCAAAACCATTTTAAATCGAAATAAAAATATATTACAGATATATTAAATTTCTTTAATAGATGGTATTGGATTGATTCTATGCTCCGATTCACAGATGCTCTCATTATGAAGTAAACGCTTTTGTTGTGTTTCTCCATGTTCTGTTTTGCGCAGCAGTACCTACTGGCCTAGTAGAAACTGTGACCTGAATACTAGACTCATTTTAAGCGTCTCACCCAATTTAAAACTTTCTTGTTTCCTATTTTAATATAGGAAAAGATATTTTAATGTATAATTACGCGAGGTTGGCTATTTTCTGCACAGTTTTTTTAAGACGTCAATTTTGGGAGATACGACGCCATCTTGATTTTTTTAAAAGGAAACCCCTACATATTTTAAAATCATCCAGTAGACAATGTTTAGCTAGTTTCAAAAATATCTATAGTATACTTTACATTTACTGTTTTCGATATATAGTGGATTTAGATTTTCTGCATATTTTTTTTTAAACGTCAATTTTGAGAGATACGACTCCATCTTGATTTTTTTAAACAGAAACCCCCATAAACAGTAAAATTGTAAATTGAGTGAGACACTTAAACTGATGTATGTACAGGGTGGGTCAAATTCGACGCTTTTAAATGGAAACACCCTTTTCTATAGGAGATAGACGAAAACTAATATCGGTGTCTGGAGCTCAATTTTCATCAAAAACATGATGGTGAAAACAGCACATCAATATCTGTTACCGTTTCGGAGTTACGGGGTGTTTTTCAAAAATGTGCATTTTTAACAAATCGCTGTAACTTTTTTGCTATGGATAATTTTGTATTTCTATGAAAACATTTCTAAAACACCTTTTTACGTAGAATTTAATGGTTTAAGTATAATTTTTTTAAAATTAATAATTTAAGAGTTATCGACAGAAAAATTGATTTTTTATTTGGGACACCCTCTATATTTTTAATTAACTGAAAAGAATTTAAAATTACCTTTCCAAAAATATAGCACACTTGATATTTTGTTATAATCCCCTTCGAATTACAGAATTTTTTAAAGTTTGCCCCTTTTAACTAGTAGGCTTTGGACCCCTTATTGATGATATCGTCCCATTGCTGCCAAAAGTCACTAACTTACTTTTTATTACTTCCGAGAAAAATGCGTCTAAAGATGAATTGCATTACATAAAAATGTTATAGTTATTAACTATTCGGTATTAAGATCTACATATATAAAATGCTAATGTTTATCTGTGTCGTCTCTACTGAAGTAACGACTTGCTCTAGAAAGTTGATTTTTTTACTAAAATATAGCTAATTGGCTCTTCTAAAAACTGTCGTCGCTGGATTTTTTTTCATTTAATTAAAAAAAATAAAAAGTTTTTTTTCCTGATGTCGTGGCGGATGCGCCAGGCTTCAACTAGTAAAACATAAATAGCCAGAAATCGTAGTTAATGACTTTTGCAATCGATTCTCCGCTTCAAAACATAGTTAGTGATTGAATTTGGTTGTTCGGAAAAATGTTAGCAAACTTTTGGCTGCAATAGGACGATATGCCCCTAATGGAACTCGAAAACATATTTTTGCAGCAAGACGACGCGACGCACCGCCTCTGAACGCTGAAGTTATCAGCTAATTTTTGCAGCCAATTTCAAGAATAATTGAATAGCTAACCAAGATCCCAGCTGTTTGCCGTCGAGGCCGCCTGACTTAGTGCCCATGGTTCTAATCCTATGGATATATTTGCAGAAGAATAAAGGTTCCTTATTATTCCGTAATCTAGACAAGAATTAGAAAAACTTAGCAGTTATGAGAGGGTATCTGTCACCCCAACTGAGTTAATGAATTCCGCGAGAAATGTTCAAAAACTGCCCCGTCTGTCCATAACATAAGACGGTCGATATGTCGAACACCTGTAGCAAAATCTCATGTCTTGGTTTGCTATTTATTTTTATTGTTATTAGATATAGTTTAAATGCGTTGATGTTGGTTAAATATATTTTAAATTGTTATAAAATTCTGCATCTCTCATAGCAAATATTATTTTCGTTTTAATTGATGCTCACAACTAGAATTTTTTTGCATTACAGCCGGTGCCGTTCAAAGCCTACTTATTTAAAGCGGGCGAATTTTTATATACTCTATATCTCGAAGAGGAATCGAGCAAAATATCAAGTGTGTTATATTTTTGGAAAGGTAATATTAAATTCTTTTCAATAAATTAAAAATATACAGGGTGTCCCATATAAAAATCAAATTTTCTGTTGATAATTCTTAAATTATTAATTTAAAAAAATTATACTTAAACAATTAAATTCTACGTAAAAAGATGCTTTGGAAACGTTTTCATAAAAATACAAAATTTTCCATAGCAAAAAAGTTACAGCGATTTGTTAAAAATGCATATTTTTGAAAAACACCCCGTAACTCCGAAACGGTAACAGATATTGATGTGCGGTTTTCACCATCATGTTTTTGATGAAAATTGAGCTCCAGACACCGATATTAGTTTTCGTCTATCTCCTATAGAAAAGGGTCTTTCCATTTAAAAGCGTCGAATTTGACCCACCCTGTACACAGTTTTTTATTTAACTATAGAGTCTTAAATAAATGCAGATATTTTCAGGGCTGGTAGATCTCGATAAAAGAAAAATATTTTCTCTTTACCGTTTTTCAAATAAGTCCAAAATAACCGAGTTATTTTACTTTAAAAATTTCGAAAAAAATTATTTCTTGCTTAAAATTTAATAACCACTAGATCTTTTCTGGATTTTCTTTCTTGTAATTTTAATCTACTACATATGTTGCCATATTATCAAGTAATTATGGTTTTTAACTAAAAATTAAAAAAAAAAATTCTAAAAATACCAAATTTTCAATTTTTTTTTCGCGAAAAAAACCATAATCGTGTTTCTGGGGTTGAAATATACTACCCCTAAAATATATTTGCACTGATTTAAGACTCATCCTGTATAGTTTATTGAGCACTATCCATGTTTAAATGAATGTAATATTTTCTACGTCTAAATTAGATTGTAAGAATAGTATATTCAAATTAGCACGTATACCTTACTATATCAAATCGATTACACGTTATACAAAATTAAGTTTCGGACCAATTAGACTACACATTAATACAAAATATATTGATAGTATAGCAGGGTAGACTAATGAACGATATAATACATTTAACCCATTTTGAAGTAAAAAAACAAAAATAAGGAAAATTTTATAACAAAACCCAAAAATTAGAACGTATTTCATTGATACCTGCAGGAATATGACGCCTGATACTTATAAATTACCTTAAAAGTTAATATTATTAGTACAAAACGTCTTAATTATCCAAAAAGCGATATCAAAATGTGATTGAGCACGTTTTCAATGAGTTTGTAATTTTGTTTAGTATAAAACGTAGAATTTAGGTAGAAACGGCATCAGTTAGCTTAGCCGACTGAGACATGAATCAAAAATCGTATTCGGTTTTGTTCTGTGCCCTTTTGGCAAGCAGCCTCATCCATGGTATGTTATACTTTATTTTTAATAATAATTTTATTTTGTTATTAAGATGTGCAATAGAAAAATATTTTTTGGTTACATACTTACACTTTGTTTTTTAATTTAACGTAAAATTGTTCTTCGGTATACTTATTACATATTTTATGTAGGATATCATTTGAATTTTAGTACTGTATGATCGAAAAAACGACGTCAAAGAGAGCTGGAGAATGACAATCGATAATAATTTTGTCGAGGTCAATCTCTAGACGTCATTTTCAAAAATTTTATATAAAACTTGTTAAAATTAACACTAATTATAGAAAGATTGAACAAGGATAGAATGTTTCCCGACAACCAAATATATTTCAAAAAAACATGTTTTTCTCGAATTTTAAACTACACCATTTAAACATCATTTTTACTTAATATAAATATATATTACAACCTTTTTAAGGTCACCTAGCAGGCCAAGTATTGATATCTAGAGTTTGAGCAACAAATTATCATCGATTGTCATTTCCCAGCCGTCCTTGACACGTTTTTTTTTTCTATCGTATGGTATTATTTGTTGCCAATTTTATATAAAATTAACGTTGAGCTAAATTCTTTAAAATTTAGAACACTGTCTACATGTTCTTATTAATTTTTATTTTCGATTTATTCTCTTAATTTTAATTTGGAAAAAAAATAGAATTAATTTTTGTGTAATTTATTTTCCAATTCATTAAACATTAATTTTTAGTTACATTTTTTTTGAATTTTTAAACGTGTTCAAGTTTTTAATTAAGTTATGTGAATATCATTTTTATCATTTTTTCTTATTAAAGGTGTCCTACAAATACTTTCTATATTTCTATTTTATTTTTTTAATATTTTTAAGGCATCTTAAGTAAAGACATTTTAAGTAAATATTTTGGGAGCATATACGCCCTAAGAAACACAAATGCCTTTTAAGAGCTCTAAGAACTGCTATATCACAAAATATGGCGATATAGCAGTTTTTAGAACTCTTAAAAAAAATTTATGTTACTTGGGGCTGCATTAAGCTGTTAAATGTTTTGAATGATATTTAAGATCGAAATAAAATATTTTACTCCTGTATTTGGGAGAATTTAAAATATGTAATAAAAAATCGGATGTAACAACTTAGTTAAACCGCAATAAATATAGATACTATTTAAGATTGAGAATTATATTCCTTTAAAATATAGTCTCATATGCCACTATTTTTTTAAGCCCAAATAAAAAAATTGTAAAAATAGTATTAATCACATCAATATATTCATATTCTTATTCCATTCCACAGAAGCATTAACGCTCGCAGTGTTACCACCTGGAAACTACCAAGGACCTGGAGGATTCGGAGGCATTGGATATGACGGTATAAGGTATGATGGTGTTAGATATCGTGGTGTAAGATATGATGGTTTAGGATATGGTGGTGTAAGCAGAAGATACGGACAAACTATTCAAACAGCTCCCGTTGCCGCAGCTCCTCTTGCAGCAGCTCCATATGCCGCAGCTCCTGTTGCCGCAGCTCCCTACGCCGCAGCTCCCATTGACTCATCCTCTGATGTTGTAGCTGCCGTTGACTCTTCCAACGATTATGCTGCTTCCGTTGAATCATCTTCATACTACGCCTCTTCCGTTGATTCATCTTCAGACTACGAATCTGCGGTTGCTGTTGATGCAGCTCCTGATTACGTAGCTCCTGTTGCCGCAGCTCCCTACGCCGTAGCTCCTGTTGCTGCAGCTCCCTATGCAGTAGCTCCAATTGACTCATCCCCCGATGTTGTAGCTGCCGTCGACTCTTCCAACGATTATGCTGCTTCCGTTGAATCATCTTCATACTACGCCTCTTCCGTTGATTCATCTTCAGACTACGCATCTGCGGTTGCTGTTGATGCAGCTCCTGATTACGTAGCTCCTGTTGCCGCAGCTCCCTACGCCGTAGCTCCTGTTGCTGCAGCTCCCTACGCAGTAGCTCCCATTGGCTCATCTCCCGATGTTGTAGCTGCCGTTGACTCTTCCAACGATTATGCTGCTTCCGTTGAATCATCTTCATACTACGCATCTTCCGTTGATTCATCATCGGACTACACGGCTGCGGTTGACGTTGATTCAGCTCCTGATTACGTAGCTCCTGTTGCCGCGGCTCCCTACGCCGTAGCACCTGTTGCCGTAGCTCCCATTGACTCATCCCCCGATGTTGTAGCTGCCGTTGACTCTTCCAACGATTATTCTGCTTCCGTTGAATCATCTTCATACAACGCAGCTTCCGTTGATTCATCGTCGGACTATGCAGCTGCGGTTGCCGTTGATGCAGCTCCTGATTACCTAGTTCCTATTGATGCAAGTCCAGACTTTGTAGCTCCCATAGACCTAGCCCCACTTGACGCAAGTCCCGACTTTGTAGCTCCCGTAGACGTGGCTCCTGATTTTGTAGCTGCTGTTGACTCATCCAACGATTATTCTGCTTCCGTCGAATCCGGTTCATATTACGCAGCTTCAGTTGACACGTCTTCTGACTACGCTGCTGTAGTTGATACAGCTCCTGATTATGTAGCTGCTGTCGATGCAAGTCCCGACTATGTAGCTCCCATTCAGCTAGCTCCAATTGATGTTGCTCCCGATTATGTAGCTGCCGTTGACTCATCTAACGACTATTCTGCTTCCGTTGAATCAGCTTCATATTACGCTGCGTCCGTTGAATCGTCTTCTGATTATGCAGCAGTTGATATAGCTCCCGATTACGTAGCACCTATTGGCATCGCTCCCGATTACGTAGCTCCAGTTGATGCATCTGCCGCAGCAGCTAGCGTCGTTACTGAAACCAGCGTTGTAAAGGAGACCGTTAGCGTCAAACAGACATCTAGTGTTGTGGTTTCCAGCGAATCAGTAAGTAATACATTTATTATTACTGATTTTACAATTTTATTATCAACTGAAAATCTATTAAAACATATATTTCTCTTTACTTAAATAGGGTGTTTCAAAAAATATGTGCCATCTCTCGTGGCAAGATTTCCCACGTAAAAATAACATTTATTTTTTACATCAACATAAGTTCAAATTTGCTTTGTTTCGTAGCTACAGGGAGTTAAATTCTTGATATTTCTTTCGATTTATATTAATTTTAAATCTGTAAATCTGTAAAACTTTTACCCTCGAAATTTGATTCAAATCTCTAAAAGCACTTGGAAAAAATTATAATAAATCAAAAGAAAAATTAAAACTAACCTTCTGAAGTTACGATACAAAAGATAATATATAAAATATAAATCTTATTTTTACATGAGAAATGGCACATGTTATTTTAAACACCCTGTATTTTATTATATCATTTATTATAGGTCGCTCAAATTTCTGGATTTGGATATGGTAGTGGACAAGTACAACTCTTCGTCAATCCTGCTGGACTATTCGGTTTTTACAACACCGAATACGACGTTGCTGCAATTTACGAAGCTAGCAGTAGCAGTGTTGCTTATCTTAGCGGTAAATATTTTACTATTACATTCATATAAATATAGATTTTTTTTCGTATAGATGTTCCAAATAATCCAAGAAAAAAAACATATCGTCGGCTTTATGACGAAAAGGCGTATTTCGCTTTTTGGCGATTTTGAGATATCAACGTCATGACATGCCCAATGGGTCATATTTTAACATAGCGAATTTGCGCATCTCAATATTGTACCTTTTTCATTTTATATTCGTTTAAAAATTTGCCCCATCTCAAATACTACAATTCTTCGTTATGACGAAGAGACGTATGTTGAGATAGGGCTCTTTGTTATATCAATTGTTATACCAATTGTTATACTACAAGAAAGATGGAATTTGAGATAGGTCCTTTTGTTTTAAGTTATGAAAATGCTACCTAATTATTTTCTGAAGGTTGCTTGGGACAAAATAAAACTTCTATCATGGCAGCAGCTCTCTTTTACAGTGTGATTTTGAGTCTGTTTTTTTGCCAAAAAACATTGTTAGAATGAGCTAAACTCTGCACATAGCTGTATCGGATATGCAAAAGATTGTCCGAGAATAAATGGCCGAGGAAAAATTGATCGAAAGCAAAACAACGAAATGAAAATTGCCCCAATGGAAAAATTCCCGAAATTATAATTTCCCTAAGAACATTTTAGCGGACCAAAAACTTGCCCGAAAAATACAATCATTTTTATCTCATTATCATCGTCAGGCCATTGGCATTGTCATCACTGTCAATTTTTGGAAAATTTTATTTATTGTGCCTATCATCATCCTGCATAAACACGTAGAATGGAAGTCGAATTTGTTATCATTGAACAGGGAAAACAGAAACTGTTAATCCAGAGTTATTTGTATCAAAAAGGCACGAATGAAGAAACATGTTTTGTTTTTGTTTAGTTTGTTTTTTATTAAATGGACCGTGAGTTTAAATGCCTTGTATTAATGCCCTCAATTAACTGAATAATTACTAAAAATATATTAGTTAAAAAAAAATATTTTTGTATAAAAAACAATATTATTAAAATAAGCTAGATAAGTGTATTTTAATTGATTATTGTCTTTGCTTCTGGAATGAAAATTGTCTTTGTTTTCAGTTGATCTAATCCAACGCGAATAAAAGTATTTAAAAATATTTGTTTCTGATTTTTTGGTGATCTTCGATTTTTTTCTGTATGTATGTATTGTATTTTCTTGTATGTATTTCATAATGTGAATATTGTATTTTTTTTCCTTATTAAGAACACTTTACCATCATTTTTAAATTTATTTTACATGGGCGTATGTATACTATTCGTTCGGAAATAAATGTATTATTATTATAACAAAAAGGCCTATCTCTCTTAAACAACTGAAAAGAAATTATTTATTAGAATTTACGCACAATTTATCTTTAGAACGTTTCCTCAATGTCTCCGTTTAAGTGTTAATACAAAAACACTATTAAAAAATTAGACTTTACATTTATTGGCCAAATAAAGTAAGTGATTTTCTTTAAATTGCTCTCCTGAAAAGTAGCAAAAATCGAGATACGCCTTTTCGTCATAAAGCAGACGATATATTTATTTAATCAATACACTGATAAACATGTTAATAACATTGTAACAATTTTGCGTTTTGCTTGATTCATTTTAGGTGGAAAAGGATATGGATCATGGTATGATCTTGGAGCCAACAAAGGATTATACTTTAGCCATGACAGCTACCCTGATGCATGGTTTTCATCTAACAGTCCCTTCGAAACATACTTCAGTGGCTTAAAATCTTTGTCTAGCTATAGTTCTATCGACAGAGGTAAGTATTATTCATAGAAAAAATATTACACACTAGTTCCAGAATATACGGGGTGTAGTTTTAAAAAACACATCACATTTTTTTTCTTTTTCTAATTGAACGTCTCTCGGAACAACTAATATGAATAAAATTTCAGGTATCTCCTACGAACATTACTATGCCGATGATTACATTAATGAGGACATTTCCGGCATCTTCTCTGGTCTCTGGCCTTACTATGAAGACTATGGAGCATACGGATATGAAAGAGGATTTAACTACTTTGGTTCAGTTGGAAATCACATCATCACCACACTCCAATCAAACAGTTTGGCTGGATTTGGTGGCGTAAGTATATTTCCTCTACACTACTAGTACTAGATAACACCCTCTATACTAGTAGCAAAGCTATCCAAGGTAAACCGTGGACGATAGTTTAGTAATTAGTTACTTCATGTTGTCTCGACCAACCTTCCCTCGTGCTATGTTAAGTTAGGTTGCTGAGGTTTGGGATCCTGGGCCCATTGCGATACCCCTGTACTAATGTATACCAAACCTTCCTCTAATTCGTAGAGTAGTCGTCGTTGGAAATCTCACGAGGTTTACCCCCGTGGGTCAATTTCCAGTGACGACACCTGCAATTATGGGTACTAGGTTCTTTTTGTGCTGTAGTAGTTGTTTTGTCTTTTTGCTATCTACCACTGGCCACATTCTCCGAGCTCTAGCGCAGTCCTCACGGTGTTGCCACGTCTCTTGCTGCTTGGCCTTGATGATAGTTCCTAGTATAGATGTAGCTTCCTTCAGTGTGTTGATCATCACAAGTGGTCGGTAATCTGCCACTCCCCTGCCTCTTACCTGGCCCCCTCTTTGGCGAGTCTGTTCGCTTCCTGGTTGCTAACTATATTGCTGTAGCTTGATACCCAGTGACCAGGCACCGTGTGACCCCGCCTTGATGCAACCAGAACAGTACTTCTCGGCAGTCCATCACAAATTTCGATCTCACTGACTGCATGGTCATGCTTCTTAAAGCGCTCAAGCTGTCAGAGTATATGACGAAATCTCCCATTGGTCTATCAGCGATTTTCCTCCGTAAACATCTGCTTGTAGAACACTACAGTCATCTGATCGTCGCCAAAGATCGTCAATGACTAGTTCGTCTGAGAAGATAACTTATACCTGTGTCTTCTGAAGTCACGGAAGCATCTGTATAGATTGGTATCTCTTGAGTAAAACAAAAGTTGACATATGATAAAAAAAAAGTCTACACCTCTGTAGTGGATTCATCTCATCAAAAAAGTTCAATGGGTATTTCGCCACTTGTACCTACAGTAAGAAAATCTACAAATAAGATAGTTATTTATTGTAAAGACTGCTTCGTTAATACAACAGAGAACTTCAGCAGTGATTTAATATTAAACAAATTTGCCGAACGGACAAAAAAAATGCTTAACGTTTTGGGAAGTATATCTATTCCCGTAATAACTATTTTATTTTGTAGATTTTCTTACAGTACAAATGGCGAAATACAGATTGGACCTTTTTGAAGAGATTGACATATAATATGCCATTCTATTCAGAATTTTATGTCCTATCAAATAAAGTAAAAAAACACAAAGGGTGCCATTTAAAAATCCAAAGTTGTAGTCATTTCCAATGAAACAGGAAGTGAACGATACAAATTGATCACTTTTGAGAAACACCAGGTATAACATCTGTTTTTTTTTATATTTTAGCTAATTAGAAAACCTATCACCTTGCAATATGGTCTTCCTGGATTCCTAAACATCATTGAAGGTTTCAATCTCTTAACTAGCAGAGTTAAAGGTCAGTATATATTCGAATTACAAATTAATAAACATTAAAACATACACGCATACAAAAAAGTAAATACAAAATAAAGTTACACTGGCTGCGGTATCGCAATTTTAAACTTATATATTCAAACTTGAATGATTTTTGTAGGAGGTTGCGGTGCATTCAGCGCAAATGGTTTCCAATTCAACCTGAACAACATCGTTGGAGCATCTAATGGTATCGAAGGTCTAACCCAGTACTTGTACCAAGTATCACCTCACTACGACTTGGGAATTTACTCTTCCTTGTTCAATAGTCCCGAATATCTCTTTAACTTGCTTGTAAAACTGGGTGGAAATGTCAACTATGGTATTACTGGAGCTCTCAAGGTATTTAAATCATCGTTACTTTGAATGTGCTAGACAATGCTTCAGTATTGAACCTAAAAGAATTTCGGAGTTCCATTGTCTTTATTTATTTTGCTTACACATCGTTTCGGTCAGAAGTATTACTGATCGTTATCAAGTGTGAAATGATCTAAATCCTTAAACTACTAAGCTTATAGCTTGTTAAGAGTATATAAAGACAAAGAAGATATGCTTAATTCAAGTAAACAATTTAACACAGATAAACAATTTTGTGACAAATTACATTGTATAAAGAAAATGTTTATATGATTTTAGATTGTCCTTGGTTTGATAACCTACGATGGTAGCGACACCTCTTTATACGAACTGATTTCCGTCATCTACAACTTTGCTGCTTTCACTGAAAACGGTTTGAACGACGACTTGGACTTGCTCTACGTCGAACTGGAAAACGTTTTATTCTTCCTCGATCATCACGAATCTTACAGTGCCAACTTTTACGGTTTATCCAGTTCCGTCTATGGATTTAGAAGCGGAAACTTCGTATACAGTATGTTAAAACATTGCATTAAGCTATAAAAAGTTTTTTTTATAAAATAAAATTCGTGTTTCAGAGAACATCGATATTGGCAACGTAGTGAATATCCTTATCAGCGGTGTAGCACGTGGACCTAGCTTCAGTTTCAGCTGGATCTCATCTCTGTTCTTCGAAGTCAGAAATGTCATCGAGCCTGGCGTAGCTTTTCCTGCTCTTGGTGTATCTTTACTTTCTCACTTTAATGACCCATTAGGCGTAAGTATAAATAACAAAATGTAATATCAAACCTAAACATTACATACAGGGTGTTCCTTAATGCTAATATTGATTCCTGGGCCTATTCTTATTTTAGAATAGGCCCAGAAAAAAATTCTCTTAAAGTCAACACTCACTTCATACAATCTGCAGAATTCTACAGATGATTATAAATCGGGAATCAAATTTCACCAACCACATTGCTATTTCAGTAAATTATTTTTTTAATTTTGAAGTCCCGGTTTTCTAAAACTGAATGTTGTTCTTTTATCTACGTCAGTAAGTTAAGAAGCTCTTACCTCACGCATTTTGAGTGATTTAAGACCTTCTTAACTCACGCATTTTCATTACCGCACTCCTTGTTTACATGACTACCAAAGAGAAAAAATATTTTGTAAAACATTTATTTTGCACTAATTGGAAAAATATGTTATGAGTACCTTTTCATTTCCATAGTTGTGTACTTTTTTTTCGGTGCATCATTTTTCATACTTAGAGTATGCATATTCATACTTCTGTTTCGATCTTGCTGGAAACAATCCAGAAATGGCTCTGAATGCCTCTTCTTCAATGTCAGAGGGAATATTTTCCGAATCGCTCATTTTTTAAACTAGTGACATCAATATTACTTACTGTCATATTGACATTGCCATGCATGGTGTTATTTGAACAAAGGTATTAAGGTAATTGATTTTTAGGATAGGTATATACTTAAGTACAATAATTTTTTAAATTCACACCGTGTTTTTATAGTTAGACGTAGATAAAATATTGTACAGTACACGCGAGTTAACTCCATTAAGATACTTGTGTGGTTACACAACTCGTGCTACACACTAGTTGTGCAACTTTCGCATGCGTATCTTGATGATGCTGTTAACTCACTTGTGTCGTAAATATCTATTACATTCTTTAAAAAAAATCAGTAACTAGATAAACTTTCAATCGTCTTGAAATAGCAAATAGTCAATAAAGACTATTTAGAGAATTCAAAAGATCAAGATATTTGTATTAAGTCTTATGTCAGTAAAAATTCATGATTTCTTTTCTTTCTAGTTGAACCTCATCAACTCTTACGGTCTTGGAGACTTAGGAGTATCACCAATAGCTGGAAACATCTTGCCTAGTTTCCTTGGAGTCAACGACGTTTATCCTCTCCTAAGCAGTCAATCAGTCTACGATTTCTTCGGTGGACTACCTTCCATCGGTCCAGTTTTCAGCGCTTTCAGTAACGGATTCAACTATGCCAACAAGTACTATGGTTTGAGCTACGATCTTAAAAACCTCTACGACTCAACCGATTATCTGCCTGGTATAGTACAAGGTACGTTCTATTATATTTAGTACTTTAATTTTATGGATGGTCGCAGTTCAGAGATATATGTATCCGTCTACTATCAATTCCTGGTCCGAAAAACGGCGAGCACGGGTGCGTCTTTGATATAATTAGAAAATAGTGTAACCATCTAACCGTCATGTCATGTCACTCCAAAGACAATAGCTAACCTCTTTGAGTTTATTTTTGTAATCTAACTAATCAACTTACTGGCGTTCGGATTTGGTGATAAACTAATAGAATTACTACATACATATGTGAGAATAATCCATGTACTTGTGAAATCACACACTTGTGATACATACGTCAAAGTTCATGGTGTTCCAAATTCGAGCTTTATCATCGGAATGTTTCAAACAGTTTCAATTATGATGTAGTCTCCCTCACATATTTAGATAATATTTTTCTAATTAGGACCATTGTCCATTGTCAGATATGTGGACCCAAGTTATCTCTGTTAATTTCCTAAAAGCCTTGTGGATACCCTGTCGTAATTTTTGTGGTCCATCTGTTTTCCGTCTTTCTTACCAGATATCCTACCCATTGCCACTTGATGGATTTGATTGTGTGGATGACATCTATTACCTTTTGTCGTGTCCACTCTATTCTTTACTGTCTTTCTTAATTATTGGCAGGACATTTTGTTCTATCGAACTTATTTTTTTTCCTTATAATTCAAGTAATATACTAATGTATTTTTATAAACATTTTACAGGTATATTCCGCAATGTTGGATATGTCATCTTCCCAGTGGAAAAAGACGTTCTGATCCGTTCCAGAGAAATTGTACGCAGTGTCACCAGTCTTGAAGTGTCCTATGGTTTGACATACAGTGACCATGCTTATTCCTATGGAAGTATGTATAACGACTTAATTTATTTATAGCTCAAGATTCTCCATATGTGCTTTTAGTACTTAGCTGTGTAATTAAATCTTGTCGACAGTTTGATTATTTAGAAAAGTATCATACAGTGTGTATAAGCCAAACAAAATTCGCTAATAAATAAACAGGACGTTTTCGAAAAAAAGCTCAATATGTATATATGTGTCCTCATGTAATAGTAACACCTCGAATTCTTTTTTTGTATTTTTAGCAAAATGTTAAAATTTTTTAACAAATAATTGTTTTCTCTTAAAACTGCATTTCTGTGGGATTAATTTACTATAGGAATTAATTTACGTGGCTCTCAAATTTTTTTTTATTTTTTTTTTAAATTTATAAACTTGAATAACTCGATATCTTAGACTTAATTTGAAAAATGGTAGAGAGAAAATATGTTTTTTTTAATCGAGATCTGAAAATATTTGCACTTATTTAAGACCGTGTATAGTTGAAATTTTTTTATGATATAGGTGAGAAATCTTTCATTTTTATCCATATATTATCCCCATATTCAATCATCTGTAGAATATTGATATTTTGAACATTTATGTTAAATGAACCATTTTTCTCATACACAGTTAGTGAAATTAAAATAACTATTGCTACTTGCAAGACTACTTTTAATATTTCTGAATCACACATCTCATACCTCTGTGATAACACACCCTGCAGAACTAGTTTTAGTTCTGATACGCACTGTATTATACATTGAGAAACCAACTAAAATTCCTTAAAACTTATTATGGCAATGCAACAAGTTACATTGACAAAAGGAAGTTAACCGCTTATTGGGTTAGTATTAAAATAAAAAACAACAAAGTTTTAATAATTATTATTATTTTAATTAAATTTATAATTAATTAAAGCGTATGGAGTTAAATAATGCAATAAGTTGCATTGCCATAAGGAGGAAAAAAAAATTAAAGAAACACAGCTTATTGATTGTACATATTAAGGAAGCATATTAAAAATAAATTATTATTCAAACTTAAACTAGCTAACTTTTTTATTCTTTTTTTTCAGATTTTTAAGATGTGATACCTCCTGAAAAATATAATTCATGATATTTAATGATAATAAAGGATAAATAAGTGTTACATTAAATAGGCAAAAGAAACAGAAAAATAAATCGAATACACTTTAATATGTGCCTTTTATTTCTTAAATTCCACTGCCACCTTTTAAATTTATAAAAAAATAAATAACATAAATTTTTAAATTTAAAAATAAAATTTAGTTATATTTTAAATTAATAATACATACACAATACTAAATTAACTTCACATTTCACATTTTTATTTACAGAAGTAAATTAATATTAGGAGTAGTTAATTAGATGGATAATTCTAATAATTTTAATTGAAAAATCTTAAATCATATTATTTTAAACAATTAGATAAAGTTTATATTTAATAATAATACATACTATTTAAACATTAAATTTCTACATTTAACAATAAATATATGCAAACTATTCTTTATCAACTAAAAAATGCGTCAACGTATTTTTTGACGACAAACTTGTATAGCAATGCATAATTATGACAATAACGTAAAAACACATTTAAAAGAAGAATTCGAAATGTTTATAACTTTTACATAAATACCTAAAATACCTAAGTATAAATTATCAAAAAGTACCCTTAGGATACAAATATACAAAAATAAATTGGACTAAATATTTTAGTCCGTGTGTTAATGCAAAATAAACGTCAATTTGTAATTATTTTCGTTATAATTCAAATTACTTGCTTTGAAAATAACGATATAATTTTTTTACTGTTTTCGCCATATCTCAAGATCCTAATAAATGTTGTCCTTCATTATTTGACAATTATCTTAATGTCAGTCATTATTTTGTATAATATCGTGTTGTTGAATCTTTGTGAGCAATTCTCAATTTTTTTTCCTATTTTCGTAGTCTTTTTTAAAAATTGCACTTTTAAGCACAAACAGTTTTTTTAAGAACTAAATTTTCGAGTTTTAGTATTGCATTTCTTGAAATTGTGTGTTGAAAATATATATAGACATAGTAAGATGTACATCAATAAATAAATAAATAACCCATAATAACGCTTAAAATAATCTTCATAATGGACTAGTTCTTGCCAATAAGTCATAAGTAAAATAAGCTATAAAAGAAATAAATCAATTAATTACTTAAATATTAGTTATTAGTTAAAACTAAAACGTAAAACTCTTTAAAAAATGATATAATAAATATATTGTTTGTCAATTTTAAATTAAGATTCATCTCATAAATCCATCACAATCTGGCAGCGCTGTCGTCATCGCTTGTCACTCAAAGATGATCACGTGCATCGGAAATTGTTTTGCGATTACCATAATAAACAATTCGTGGGGCAACTTTGAGACAGTACCAAAGTTGGCCCTTTAATAATAATGTACAGGGTGAGTCAACGATAAAGTAAAGTCCATTATCTCATTTGTTTTGAGGTTTACAAAAAAATATTAAATATAAAAGTTATACTGACGGTTAAAATACACATTTTAAAATTATTATAGAGTATACAGGGTGCTTTAAAAAAGTGTGGTGCCATTACGCACTGAAGATGTTTTCTAGATAATCTACATCTATTCTTATACTACTTCGCAAAGTACTCTATAATATAGTACTGAACCAAAAAATATATTTTTCTTGGCTTGTTCGTGTATATCAGTCACATTGACTAATTCATTTCAGGAAAAGCTGTAACCAGTATCTCTACAATTTAAACTTATTACAACAAATTAAAATAAAATTTAAATTTTGTTCTCCCAAACCAAACCAGACCAAACCAAACTTGCTTAGCAGACAAGAAATTTTGATAATTATTACTTTTTGTTTGTCCAAAACCAAACCAACTATGATGTTATAGCGTAATTGTATTAAAAATATGGGTAAAAATAGAAAAAATTGGAATAAATCGCAACAAAATAAAAACACTAAATCACTACAATACGCGCGTCCAGTGTAAAACTAAAAGTGTTTTGGTGTATTGTGGTGATTTAGTGTTTTTATTTTGCTGTGTAACACCAAAGGTTCCAACCCTCAACTGTAATAAATCGCAAACTATTAAAAATAGGTATATGACATGCTTAATAAAAGTTGAAGAGTTTTGTAAAATCTATCAGAAAAAGTGATAATATATAGGGTGTATCATTTAAAAAAATCGAAATTTCTTAATTTTAAGTAGTTGAAATTCATAAATATATTTTGAACACCCTGTAGCATCTAACTAAAATATCTTTACATAGGTCTTTTTCTATATCTCTATAAAATTCTCCTACTAAATTTTAGTTCTTCAACTTCAGAAACAATGCCATTACTGACAATTTTTTATCACACTGCAATCTAACATTTGTTTAAACAAATGTAAATATAACAAAAGCTATTAATTTTAGGTATATAACAATTTATATAAAAAAGTTATAGAATTTTACGCAGAATCTAAAAATAAAATAAAAAATAGGGTGTTCCATTTAAAAAAACACGAGGGGTAAACCGCAGAGGGAAAAGTGTACACCGTAATTCCTTTTACTCAAATAATTCCTCAGAATTCCTCGTAATTCCTTCGGAATTCCTTGGAATTCCTGGTCTTCAAGGTCAAGGTCAATCATTCAAGGTCTTCCTTGGAATTCCTTGGTACGAACTCGGTAACTCTTTCAGTCTAACCAGCGTTGCCACCTCGGTTTCGCAGTTCCGCTATGAATTTTCTGGTGATTTTTATAAATGTCTAATGTCTCTATAAGTACTAGATCTAACAATAAAAAGTACTATTACGAGATTTACGTTTTTTTAGTTAAATTTTAGTACCAATAGGGGATCATGAGGTAAAAATACTGGAAATATGTCGGCACTTACTTATTAAAATTAATTTTTCTCGGGATTTTTTGAAAATGAGAGGTACCTAGTTATACTCGTATCTATAGGAAAGGAAATTAATAAAACTTCAGTTGCACGTCATAATACGATCACCAGTAAATTCCATAAGATTACGCATGGTATCATTGATGAAGTGCACCTAAAGTTGTATTAATTTTCCTATAGTATATACCTAGGTATTATTCCGAGGAAATGAAAAAATCAACTTTACACTTTCTGGAGTACTGAATAAAAAAATCTTATGAGGATTTCTTTAAAATGGCGAAATCAGGGAACGTTATAACTAGATCTCTCGGGGGTGGTTCGGCCGTACTATTGGAAAATATTTTAGATATATAATCGAGGGTACAATATTAAATTAAAAGAATATCTAACCTGTAGATATTTGATATTGGGAAATTTTGGAAGCGAAAAAAGAAAAACGGATAGTAAAAAATCGCCTGCAAAACGTTTTTCTCTTTAAATTTAGTACTGCCTATTATAGTATTCATGGTTTACTAATGTTCGTTAATTTTTATAAAGTTGCTTGTAATTCCTCTTAATTCCTGTGGAATTCCTCTAAATTTCTAAGGAATTCCTTGGAATTCATTGGAATTCTTACGGAAATAATTGGAATTCCTAGTAATTCCTATGGAATTCCTTGGAATTCCTCGTAATTCCTTGGAATTCCTTGGAATTCCTGTAGAATTCCTTCATAGTGTACACCATAATTCCTCTGCGGTTTACCCCTCGAAAAAACATATCTTATATTCGCCACACTTTTTTGAAGCACCTTGTATACTCTATAATAATTTTAAAATGGGTATCTTAATCGTCCCTATAACTTTTAAATTTAATATTTTTTTGTAAACCTCGAAACAGATGAGATAATGGACTTTATCGTTGACTCACCCTGTACAATATACAATTTAATATCATGTTTTTGCAAGTGTTCATCTTTATTTCTGCCATTAAGCTGGACATCTTGCTAAAATTATTCTAACCTAACATAAAACTAAGAGCCTTTGAGAAAGAAACTTATTTCTTATGTGTAGGTGTATACAGACTTTTTATTATTGTAAATGTTCTATCCAAACCCCAAAATTGACTTGGTCATCCAGAGCTAAAACTTCTTTACACAACTTTATTTCGTTTATAGCATCCGGCTGCCTTTTCTCTTGTAAAAGGAATTAGTGTTGTATGTGTGGGATTCGCCCCTAATCCTTCAGTCCTCACCTCTCTTATCCTCTTTAAAAGACACAATAGAGTCGAAATAAAGCTAATTAATGGCATAAAAATGCAAGCTAAAATTAGAGATTTTAGTTGCATTGCATTACCTAAATTAGTCATTAAATATTTTCCTAAATCTAAATAAATAAAGCAAAAGTACAGTTTGCTATAGTATTTTCGCGGTCAGATAGACTGGTTTGGAAGTGAGGGCATTACATATCAGTAACATACTAGACATAATAGAAATTTAATGGAAAATAGTTTATAAAAACATAGAGAACAATGGCAACAACTGTTAAATCAATTGATGTCGATCATTCGAAATCATTCGGTCACTCATTAAAATTAATACCACAAAATTAACAAAAAAAAGCTCTTATTTTACGTCTTACTGCTTACTTAAACAATAAATATTTTTTACTTAGTTCCGAAAAGTTCAATTTTAAGACACTTATAAGAAACAAAAATTATCGAGTTTTGAAATTCTCATACGCAAACTAGTGAGAGGGAGTTATTTTAACTTCAATAAACCCAATCAACAAATTAATCAAAAATATATTTCCATATTTTGACTGTATACAGGGTGGTGCAAACTGTATTCCGGAAACTTCGGCAGCATATTCTGCAAATAAAAATATGTAAAAAAGTTCGTATAAATGTATGTCCTAAAATGCTTAGTTTCGGAGGGTGTAGAAATTTATAATAAATTTATATGTATAATAATAATTTGTAAGCTAACGTCGATATGTGAATGAAAATTGGTGTCTGGGTGTTTTTTAACATGAGAAATTTGATTTTGATGTAAATATAACTCCAATTTGTAGGGGCGCCATCTACATATGTCTTAACCATTTTGAAGAGTAATAACTTTTCGTCCGTACCTGTATAAAACTAGTGAGTTAAAAAATGTACATTTCCGTGTTTTTTTTCCGTAAAAAATGTCTCTTGGTAAAAATCGCTACGAGCAACCTCAAGATATTTAAAATGAAAATAGTCAAGACATGTCATTAATGACAAAACAATAAACACGTTAAGTAGATAGTTATTTGACTGAAATAATAAATCCTGTATGGGTATTTCGCCACTGCTGCAAGAAAATCTACAAAATAAAATAATACTTTAGTATTTTTAACAGAACGTCAACGGTTTCTTGTAGACGTATCTGTTTTAAAAAAAGTAAAGTGTTCTCGAATAGTTGAATTTAAATATTTTAAATAGTTTTTTTCTTTATTCTTTGTATTTTTTTGCTTCCGACGACGGAAAGAGATAACTTTCCGAAATGTTAAGCATTTTTTTTTGCTTTGTTAGGCAAATTTGTATTACCGTAAACATAACTTCTGACAAGCAGCGTCCGTTTAGGTTTAACGCAGTGTGTACAAAAAATAATTATTTTATTTTGTAGATTTTCTTGCAGCAGTGGCGAAATACCCATACAGGATTTTTTTGGAAAGATGAATCCGCCACATAGGTATAGATATTTTTTGAAATAATAAATTTGGGATTTTTTTTTATTTTTCTGCGAAAAAATACCGTAACGCCGTAATGTATATGTTTTACTCAGTAGTTTTATACAGGTACGGATAAAAAGCTATTTATTACTTTTCAAACCAGTTAAAAAATATGTAGGTGGCACCCTCTACACGCAGGATTTATATTGACATCAAAAATAAATTGCTCATGTCAAAAAACTCCCTGGCACCAATTTTCATCCAAATATTAACGTTACTTCAGAAATTATTTGGAAAAAATCGAAATAAAAATGAAATTTCTTCACCCTGTATCTCCGAAACTAAGCATTTTAGGACATATATTTATACGAATTTTTTACTTATTTTTATCTGCACAATATGCTGCCGAAGTTTCCGGAGTACAGTTCGGACCAGCCAGTATATATTTTTTTCTATAATAATAAAAATAGTATTTTAGTAATATGTTTGCAACACCAAAATTTTCAATATAGCAAATAACCATTTTTATGAACATTTTGTCTCGCTCTAGAACTATTTTTTTCCTAACTAGTTTTTAAAATTATATAAGTACATTCTTTTAACAGAAAAATGTGTGTAACGCCAATCATCCTCGGAATTCCTAGCGTACTTTACAGGATCATTTTTTACTATAAAAAGCTGCAAATCCTCGCCAATTTACATCACAGCAAAATCGAAAATGAACCAAAAAGCATATTCGATTTTGTTCTGTGCCCTTTTGGCCAGTACCTTCTACCACGGTAAGTAAACTCAAATTTAATTAATTACATTTATATATTTCAAAATTTCAATATTTAAAAAGTATTTTTTATTAGATTGATATAATCAAAGTTGTAAAATATTTCAGTTAAATAACTAAAACTTCATAGTTTTCTTAATTATTGTGTTATACTGATTGACAAGAAAATTATTTATTGAATACAAACTTTTTATTGATTAAAGTTTGACACTTTGGTTCAAAAACACAGTGAACATAAAAATAGAATATTTGAGCTTTAACGAACAATACCATTAGATATAATAAAAACGGCGTCAGAGATGACTTGAGAATGACAATCGCTGTCATTTTATCATCGTCATCATCATTATTTCTACACTCAGATGCAAAAAAATGCAAGGGAAAGATTTTTGGTCAAGTTTAAAATGATATATTTTTTTTTATTTTAAGCCTTATTTATATACAGGGTGTCCCAGAGATAAGTGCAAGTATTTTAACTCCTAACTTCACGAAAATTTTATGAAAATTTTTTTGATTTTTTTTAGTTTTCAGTTAAAAAACATAATTTCTTGATAATATGGCAACATAGGTATTAGATTAAATTTACAAGAAAGAAAATCCAGAAAAGATCCTGTGGTTCACAAAATTTTAGCAAAAAATCATTTTTTTTTGGAAATTCTTAAAGTAAAATAACTCCGTTATTTTGGACTTATTTGAAAAACGATAAAGGGAAAATGTATTTGTTTTATCGAGATCTACCACCCCTTAAAATAGTTGCACTATTTCTGGGACACCCTGTATAGATAATATAATATCAACTTTAACTCGTAAACTCAGTTTATTATAAACTTTAGTATTTGACTTATTATACAGGGTTAATTGAAGGTTTTTTTTACCTAAATTTTAAAACATCCTGTGCAATAATTTCGTGAGCAAATTTTCCTAAAACATTATTTTTCGGTCAGAACCATGTCTACTGAATATGTTGTTTTTTGACTCATGTCTACACATGCCTTGGTTAATTTTTAAGAGTAAATGAATTTGCCACAAAATTTTTTCAATTTTTAAATGATCATTAGTTTTTGGTGTTATTCTTCATAATGACGAGGTGGCTTTGGTGATTATTGTTGTGTACGATTAAATATGGTTCTTAATATCGAAGATTGTGCAAGAGTCATTTCTCTTGTTGAAGATGGCCAAAATCACGAAAATGAAAAGTCGCTTGGTCCTTGAGGAAGAATGGGAAAACATAACATAATATATTTGCAGCCTCATTAACAGTATGAACCGATGCACGGTGGGGCCGATTGAAGAATCGTTGGCCAAAACCTTCAAAGATATATTATGAATCAACCAAAAATATATAGAATTTAACAGTTTTTGCTTAATTGAATTTCTAGGCAGTCAATCTTCAAAATTTTGGTTAATTAAATTTTAGTTCACGTATATACCCAGCATATTAGCTCATCAATATAATGCGAGAAAAAATACCCGGATGACGAAACTTTTACACTTTTGCCTTGCAAGCCATTTCGAATATTGTTGTCTTGTGGCATGTCTGTGTGTCTGTCTGTCTGTTTATCGGTCTGTTTGATATATTTTTTTATCCGTATGTAACCAACAACTTTGATAAAAAAATAAATATTGTTTTTGGATTCTAGTTTTGAAGAAATAAAACAATAATTATTTTCAATCATGGTCTCACATGTCTTAAAATGAGTAGTCGGCACGTAATCAAGAAAGTATGGGCTAGATTTTTCGAGTACCTATTACAGGCAAGCATCTAAAAATTAATTTCAGATGATGAGGGGGTTCCAAAAATTTTAATATCCATTTCGGGGGAAGGGTGGTTTTGGGTGCCGGAAATTTTTTTTTCTCCTATTTTTGGATTAGAGCAACTAAAAGATTTGAAATGTAGCGTAATGTGATGTGTTTAAAAATAAATTGTTTAAATGCTTAAATTTTTAAAATCGGTTCATTATTTTAGTACATATCATAGTTTGAATTTACGTGCGGATATTTTAATAAGTTAAGCCGCTTTCTATCTTGAAATTTTAAACTGTCATATTTAGACTAAAACGTAATATTTTTAAACATACTTATTGCTTTACTTCAAATCTCCACGTTGTTCCATTAAAAAGATAAAAAAGGAGTAGGGACATTGTATATTATCTAAGCCTCGATCTAAGCATTAATTCAGTTAAAACCCACAAAATTTATAGATTTGAGGTGGGGTGGGACTTAAGTGTCTAGGACCCTTGGACCCCCTAACTATGTGCTTGATTACAGGCGATTCATGAGTATCAGATTTTATTAAAATCACACGAACTTAATCTAAATAAATCATAAAGACCTATACTATCTATTACTCAAAGTACCAGGGACATACTTACATTTAAAAATATTTTTTTTAAAGTTGCGCAAAGTTGCGCAAGATTGTAACAAATACATGAAGGGTAATACCCAATCTTTTAAAAAACATCAGCCAATAAATTGGGCAACTTTGGGCACTCAACAAAAGTCAAGGCTAAATAGCATATTTTATTTTTTATATTATACTAATTTATTAATTAATTTAGTGTGCATCAGTGAAAAAGTTTTTTTTTTCAAAACATAGCTAGAAATAGTCAAGTAGTATTAGTATAAAAAATGCAAAAAATTAATTGTATTTAAAAATTAACCAAGAAATTTTACATATTATTCGGGCCCTACAAATTGCAATTATAATACACGGTAGAACTAAACCTTCGATATTACTGCCCTTCACTGGTTACAGATCTGCATCCAAAAATTTTTTCTGTGCATAATATAATATTTAGGTCTTTTCTGTATTCTATGGTCATCAAAACTTTTTGAAAAAGCAACTGCTGTTTTATAAGGTTCTGGCCGCAAAAATGGCAATCGGCCCCACTGTGCGACGTCTACAGACAATAATAGCAGCCCTACAGTAACAAAAGCCACCTCGTGATATTAAAAAATAACATCGTCAAGTAGTCGTAGTTGAAAAAATTGTAAATTGTTGGTGGCAAGTTCATTTCGCTCCTAAAAATTTACCAAGGCATATGTTGGCATCAGTCAAAAAAACAAAATGCTCAGAAGACATGGTTCTGATCGAAAAATAATGTCTTAGGAAAAGTTACTCACAAAAATATTGCACAGGGTATTTTAAAGTTAAGGTAAAAATCAACCCTTCAATTAACCCTGTATAATAAGCCAAATCCTAAAGTTTATAAAAAACTGAGTTTATGAATTAAAGTTGATATATTTATATACTATTTGCTAAAAAATTCATGAAAATAGGGTTAAAAGTAAAAAATTTAGTACTTTAAACTTGACTGAAAAATTCTCCGTTGCGCTTTTTGCCTTTTAGTGTAGTATTTTCAGTGTTGTGTCATTTATAACTTCATACCGTTTTTTGATCACACGGTAGTTAAAACTCAAGTTATAAGTTTTTTAAAAACAAAACCGTCACAAGCCCTAAATGTTAGCAGAAAAGTAAATATAATTTTTTGATGACATCAATCATTTGTCTTCAGAATATATTTCTGTGATTATATAGTTAAGTGTTAGTTTCAGAGCCATAACACTACTGTTTTCATATAGAAAAAAAGGTCATCAAAAATTCAAAATAATTTTCCATAAATTCTATTGCTTAAATTTGTTATTTCACTAAAATGATTTTCATAGACGTGTTAAAATATAACCTAGAAATACATAAAAATATGAGAAACAATATTAATAAGCTGTTACTACATTTCAGAAATAAAAGCAAAAGGCGTGGTACCACATCACCATGGCATTTCAAAGGCAAAAGACCGATTATTGCCATCTGTTGAGACATGCAGCATCGTAAGTATTTAATTTAAAGACATTTTTCTTGAAACGAATGTGAAAACAGTGAATACAAGATTGTTTGACATTAATGTCACTCTTAGTTAAATGACACAAAGACAAAAAATTAAGAATTGGTACAAAGTACAAAAAAATACAAATAAAACAATTTAATTCTATTTTAAAATTATTTTTGGATAAACATGACTCTAGTCGCTAGTGACAACAACATAAAGCCGCGTCCAAGCTACTCGAACAAAACGTTCGCGAACATATATAATTCACACTATATACTCGTAGCAGCAGGTCGTAAACGACGGCACAGCCCATCGCATCGGTCCCGAGGACTGAGTTGCGGGGAAGAATACGACAACCAGTTTGCTCTATAGATCTAGGATGCGTTTAGGTAGTCGCTGTTTTTTCGAGTGCCCGGATTTCGAGTGCAAGCATTTTATTAAATAAATTAACCGGTAAACAGTTTAAGAACTTTTGTCGTTGAAGAATCAATATTTAGCAGGCGGAGGGTCACCAGGGGTCTTTTGGTAGATTATTCATTATACTGTATTTTAAGACCTGTATTCATTTTCAGCCGATTCTACCAGGTGTTTCTCAAAAGGGGCTCACTTTTTTACTTTTTTATTTTTTCAGATAATACAACGAAATTTGGTTTGTTAGTATATGACATAAATCGGGATTGATTGACGTATTCAATTACATTCGGTCGCTTCCTGTTTCACCGAAAATGACTACAACTTTGTATTTTTAGATTGTATCCTAAGTACTTTTTTACTTTATTTGACAAAAAATGACATTCTGAATAGAATGACATACCCTACGTCAATTTTAGACAATTCCAATTAAATAAAAATAGCATTTTAAATTTCAATCTAGAGTGCCAAGTCTGAGTTAAAACTATTAGGTTGTAATCAAAGAACTTTGCAAACATATATTTGATCGTGTAATTTTTTTTCATATCCTTTCATGGCCGCTTAAAAGATGCCCAAATCGTATTTTTAATGATAACTCAAATTTTTCAAATGGTACGAGGCTGGCTCAGCATATTTGGAAAAAGCATTTTTTACGAATAATTTGGTACCACATACTTGGTATTTGGAGTAAAATTGTCGTTACGTTTATTTACGGCCATTTTTAAATTGAAAATGTCAAAAGTTGACATAATATATCATTCTATTTAGAATGTCATTTTCTATCATATACGGTAAAAAATACCGAGGATACCATTTAAATCAAAAGTTGTAATTTCCGGTGAAATAGGTAGTGACCGAAAATAAATGAAAACGTCGATCAATTCTGATTTATGTCCTATACTAACATACCAAATCTCGTTTTTTATCTAAAAAATTAAAAGAGTTATAGAAGTGCACCACTTTTCAGAAACACCCGGTATATTTATTTCTAAAACTGTAATGGTAAAATTTCATTTCCGGTGTCAAACTTCCTATTGAGTAGTAATTTTTAATTTCAGAATCCCATAATAATTCCGGTCTTTAATAAAAATAATCATAAAGGTCTTTATTAACAAAAATGAAATTATAAATATAGACGAAGTCTAGCTACATAGCTATTCACACTTAACCCACAATAAAATTAAAATTATAAAATCTTTTCTTTGTGTAAATAAATTAGTTGTAAATGTTTTTCACGATCCCAGTCAATAACTGCGTCTCCCATTGACGAATACTCGGCAAAAAATAAACATCACAGATGGACGCCCGCAATTAAATGAGACCCTTCCAAGTGTCCGGTACAATGTCCGCCAAAATGCACGCCGTTCGCTCCTTTTGATTTACCGACACCCGTCGGAAAAAGAACGCGCGCGCTCTAGCATAGGCAGACGCACGCTCTGGCGTACAAGCTAGCCGTTCGGCGCTCCGCGCTCCTTAATAGGCCTAGGCTCGCTGTACTTGTTGGCTTTATTATTTATAAATCTACCTATCTCACAATTTTCACTTAGTATTTGTTTAATTAAATATGTTCGCGAACATTTTGTTCGAGTAGCTTAGACGCGGCTTAACTAAAGTTTGTGAGTAATAGTAATTCTATTGTAATAGGGAAAGCGTTCGTGGATGTTGGAACAAATAAATATTTTAAGAATATTGTATTACCTAAATATTCAAGTTGATTAGATAATAATGAAAAGAAAAATATACATTAATTTCTCACAAACTGAATTATTTTTCAGCAATGCACATTCAATAACACCGGTCTGGAAGTTATCGTCAACGTCAACACCAGTATTATAATCGTTGTGAATACTACAAGCAATAATGCCATAGGCATTGATTTTAAGGCAAATATAGTAGCTATCTTAAATGGTAAGTAAACATGAATTCCCTACTACTATTGTTATAACGTTTTCATTTGCATTTATATCACAGTCCATTGGCTATAAGATCTCTTGCGAGTGTTTGCTTGTCTCTTGCGACTTTTTAGTAGATTTTGATAACAAGCACCTACATAGAAAATCCTTAAATAAATAGTATTTTTATATACAGGGTGGCCCATAGAAAACGTTCCGCAAGGTATAACGGCCAGGGAATTTTTTTTTCAGAAAATTCAAAAACACGCCAATTTTGTTTTTGAGGGGGACAACTGTTGCCCCAAAAATGATTGCAAAATCTTCAACCCTCTAAGCGGGGGTGTCATCCCCCAATTTTTTTCAAATGGGAAGGGGGGTCAAGTAGTATCGCAATGAAAAGGGCTTTCTATTCTCTATACTTTCCGGCTTCGTTTTTGAAAATCGGTCGAGTCATTGAGAAAATATGAAGGATTGAAATTTGAAAAGTTTATTTTAACATTTATCAGAGTAAATGATAAGGATAAATTCCTTCGACCAATTTGCTGTTTTTTCTTATTATTTCTAGATGTTTGCGCATTTTTTCACTTGCCACAAGGTTGAACGATCAGGTGCGGTAATTGCTAGATAGCTGTTCTGTGACTTATGCGTTGAAGTTCTTCTCAATATCGTTAAACTTTTTAACAATTATCAAAAAAAATGTCTATACCTATGTGGCGGATTCATCTCTCCAAAAAAATTCTTTATGGGTATTTCGCCACTGCACTGCAAAAAAAACAATTATGGTGTACTCACTTGCAGAAAAAGTGGAAATAATCGGACTTTATTTTAAAAATAATGAATGTGGCAATCGGATTGCGCAGATATTCAATGAACGCCATCCTGACAAACACCTTTATGGCAAAATTGTTCCCGAGTTAGTAACAAAATTTCGCGAAACTAGTTGCGTTATGAATAAAAATAGGCAGAGGAAAAATCCTGTAGTAAATGAAGCTATGGAGGTATTCATATTTGGCCAAGTTGCCATGGATAGTACGCTGAGCACAAGAAACTTGAAGCCAATGAGACCGGTGTGAATCGTACAAGTGTTCAAAGGATATTAAAAAACACAAGTTCCACCCGTACAAAATTCAGTTGGTACAAGAACTCAACGAAGACGATTTTGATCATCGCCTGGAGTTTTGTGAAACTATGAGTGAACGAGTGGCGAATGATAATAATTTCCTATTAAATGTGTGTTTTTCGGATGAGTGTATTTTCTTTTTGAACGGTGTAGTTAATCGGCATAACTGTCGGTACTGGGCTGAGGACAACACCAAGGTTTTTCACGAGTTGCACACACAAAACCCTCAGAAATTGGCCGTGTGGGCTGGTATTCGAAAATTCTATTGTGGGTCAGTTTAACGATACTGAGAAGAACTTCAACGCACAAGTTACAGAACAGCTATCTGGCAACTACTGCACCTGATCGTTCAACCTTGTGGCAAGTGAAAAAATGCGTAAACATCTAGAAATAATAAGAAGAAAACCTCAAATTGGTCGAAGGAATTTATCCTTATCATTTACTCTGAAAAATGTTTAAATAAACTTTTCAAATTTCAAGCCCTCATATTTTCTCAATGACTCGACTGATTTTCAAAAACGAGGCGGGGAAATATAGAGAATAGAAAGCTCTTTTCATTGCGGTGCCACTTGACACCCCTTCCCATTTGAAAAAAGTTGGGGGATGACACCCCCGCTTAGAGGGTTGAAGATTTTGCAATCATTTTTGGAGCAAAAGTTGTCCCCCTCACAAACAAAATTGACGTGTTTTTGCGGAACGTTTTCGATGGGCCACCCTGTATATACTTTTAGAAAGTGTGAAAATTTTAGTTGATGAGATAAAAATTAATATTTTTTAATATACCCGGTCCGGCAAAAGTGCGCCGGGCTTCTGTATCTCCTAGAATAAAAAACTTGGAAAATGAATTTAAATGCAAACCTAAAGTATGTACCAGGAAGAATTTCAGGAAAATATTTTAACTCCTATAGGGTGGCTCAAAAAAGTGTGAGTTGATCTGGATGATTTTTTTAAATGGGACACCCTGCATATAATTCCAATTTTTAGCTTCCTTTCAGATAACTTTTCATAATCCTAAGATATGAGTAACTATATTTCGATAGTTTTAGAAATGACAAATAAGAAAAATATGTTTTTCAGCCTTTCTTAAGAAACAAAAATTATTAAAAATATAAGAACTGTCCTGAAATCAAAACCATGTTAGGTTTAAACTACTTAAGATGGTATGCACTTACTTTGTCTTAAAATCATACAGGATGTTCAAAATTCTACGCCAAACTTTCTAAAATATAAAATAATTTTTCTTCTTTTTTTTTTAAAGAAAACACCCTGTATTTTACCTTTTTAATAAATGGAGAATTAAAAAATGAACATTTTTTGTATTTAGAGTATTTCAAAAATGTTAACGGTTTTGCAGATATTCGCTGTTTTATATTTCATATGGCATTTTCCACAGTAAATTTTTATTAAAGCCACCCAATGATTTTTCTCTCGTATTTTACCGTTAAAAGAGCTATATGAAATAATATTGCATGTATCTGCAAAACCATTAAAAATTTTGAAAAATTAATTATTTAATTTATTAATTAATTCAATTTAAAAAAAAAAGAAAGAAAAATCTATACTAATATATAAAATCCTTAAGTGACTGACATACTGATTAATCACGATTCTGCTAAAAACCACTCAACGTAAGAAGCTCAATTTTGGCATACATGTTGATTCTAGGGTGTAGAGGCTCGATAAGAAGGGATTTTTCGAAATTCCAGTTCCAAGAGGGTGAAACCACCCCTCAAATATTACAATATTTTTTATTTAAAAACGGTCAAGTTTCCGAAAAAACGCTTAAACACGTATATTTTATTTTGTTTTTTTACATATTTTAAGATTTTTTAAAAATGTATACAGGGTGTTTCGAAAAATCTGGTCATTGATTAATTATGATCCTGCTTAAAGCGCTTGACATAAAAAGCTGATCTTTTGGAAAACGGATTGACTTTAGGGTGTAGAGGTTCAATAAGAAGGGATTTTTTAAAACTCGAATTCTAAGGGGGTGAAACCACCCCTCAAATATTAGAATATTTTTTATTTTAAAACTGGTCAGTTTTTCGGAAAAACTCTTGAACACGTATATTTTATTTTGTTGTTTTACATATTTTAAGATTTTTTTTTAAATTTACACAGGGTGTTTCATAAAATATGACCATTGAGTAATCACGATTCTGCTTAAACTGCTTGACGTTTAAAGCTGATTTTGGGCAAACGGATTGACTGTGGGGTGTAGAGGTTCGATAAGGAGGGGTTTCTCGAATCTCAAATTCCAAGAGGGTAAAAACGCCCCTCAAATATTACAATATTTGTTATTCAAAAATCGGTTAGTCTTTCGGGAAAGCGCTTGGACAAGCATAACTTAATTGGTTTTTTTACATATTTTGAATTTTTTTAAAAAATCATACAGGGTGTGCCAAAAAGCTTATTTTAAAACTTAAGCTTTTTTAAACTGCTTGACGTAAAAAGCTTATTTTTGGCAAACGGATATTTCCAAAGTCAAATTCCAACGAGATGAAACTACCCCTCAAATATTACCAAGTTATCTAATAATATCGCCATATTGTTGTTTTCTCATGCTGACATAAATGTGAGAAAATTTTATCCAGTTTGTATGTTAATGGAAATTCTTGTTTTGCATTATCATCACCATTACAAATGATTAATTCGATATAATAGTTATTTTATATTTTAGAAAGTTTGGCGTAATTTTGTATACCTTGTATGATTTAAGATTACGAAAGTTATAGCAAAATAAGTATAGACCATCTAAAGTAAATACCTAATATAGTTTTGATTTCAAGACAGTACTTATATTTTTAATAATTTTATTAATGCTATTTATTATATTAATATTTTTTTAATGTTATATACAGGGTGGCGCACCTCATTCACCTCTGTTGATTATACGAAAATGGAAAGATGTAGAAACAAAATATTTTCTGGGTATATGTGGGGAGGCTATGTGCACAATTTAAAATTATTTTGAAATATACAGGATTTGTCAGAACTAAGATCCACACTAAAGTTAGGCATTTATTATAAGAGTTAAATATGTTTACAAGCTTTGGTTTTTGAGATATTTAAATATGTATGTTATAATAAAAAAATATTGTCAACACCCTGTACATTGCTTTTCAGAATTAATTCTTATGCTAACTTTTAAGCTAAAGAATTAAGCTTTACTAAAAATGTTGATTGCTTCGTTTAATGTATACAGGGGTATCAAAAATTACTGGTCTATTTTAAATATTTATTTTACATAAAAACTTAGTTATTTCAAATACAAGACCCTGTATTTTTTAAAATAAATCGAAGCAGATTCAAATGCTCTTTCAAACTATATTAGGGTTTCTTTTTAACCTATCTAGCTCAGCTTTTGAATAAATAGCAATTTTTCAATAAAATGGAAACCAAGAGGGCTAATGTCGTCATGGCAAGTTCCTAGTGACAGTAGCTATTTTCAAAATCGAAATTAGTTTATAGACTTTATTTAAATTTATACCAGTTTACTTTTATTTAATTTACCTATAATAATTTAATAAATAAAATTTATTAAATATGTATTTATTATTTTATTAAGAAAAACGAAGTAGTTCTGTGATTTATTTTACGATGACTTGCAGATATATCTATGGATTTTCTATAAAAGAGCCAATTACGGCAAATTCATTTTCTTCATTACCAACGGCAGGTTTCTGCCTAATAATTTTTTTATAAATCACACTACCAGCTCTGGGAAATAGGAAAAGTTGTTTTTCAAAAGAACGCTTATCGGGAAGATTCCTATTTGGATATCTTTGAGCATAAGCCCTTGAGGCCAAGGAGCAATTTGCCCTACAAAATAAAATCACTAATAACATATCCATTCCAAAACCAAAGATTTTAAACATATTTAACCATTAAAATATATGCCTTTTTTTGGTCCCAAGAATCCAAAAATGAAATAAAATACCGGGTGTTCCATAATAAAAAATATAACTTTGGTATGGATCTTAGTTCTGAAACACCCTGTTTATTTCGGAATAATTTTAAATTGTGCATATTGCCTCCCCAGATATACCCATAAAATATTTTCTTTCAACATCTTTCCGTTTTCGTATAATCAACCGAGGCGAATGAGGTGCGCCACCCTGTATAATGGGTTTGGCTTTAGTCTTGTTTTTTTACCAAACTAAGAACAAGACCATTCTAGCTCATCACTATTTTCTATAAACGTCTAAACTATCATCACCGTATAACTAAAATATTGTTTCAGTCTCATAATTTTTTTCTGCTTTTAGGAAACAACGGACAAGCACTTTTCATTAATCTGATTACCAAAGCATATATCTGGTTCGACGGTAGTGCAGGAGTAACTGCATGGTTAAAGAGCAGCGTTTCCCTCGAAGTATATATCCAAAAATCCTTCAGCGTCGCTTTCCAGTCTTCAGTTGGTAAGTAAATCAAATATTCATGTTCGCAATTAACTTTATTTAACTATAATAATAATGAAAATAATAAACCGGATATATACAAAAAAAGACCAGATATTATCAGAAAAACATCCTAAAACAATCTATAGACAGCAAAAATGTAGAATGTGCAATAGAGCGGAATAACATATCAGCCATCTGGTAGCTGGATGCTCAACACTTGTTCCGACAGAATACACCCATAGACAAAACAAGGTTGCAACATACATACATTGGATTATATGCAGAAAGTTGGGTGCAGGACAAGTATTATGAACACGTTCGCGAGAAAGTCCTAAATATTAAACGACACTGTAGTACTATGGGATGTGCCAATTATCACAGAGCGAACAATATTAGCCAACAGACCGGATCTGGTATTCCGTGACAAGAATCTGATCGATATGTCTGTTCGAGACGACAACAACATATCAGCGAAAGAAGTAGAGAAAATCAGGAAGTATAAAGATCTTGAAATTGAAATCAGCAGAATGTGAAACACGAAGAGGAAAGTAATCCCAGTAGTAATTGGTGCACTGGGTATGCTAAAGGGTATATTTCATCATTCATATCATATCATTCATAGTAATTTCATCAAACTTATACCTGGCCACCCACCAACGAACGAAGTACAGAAGATAGCTTTGCTGGGAACAGCACGCATACTCCGATAGGTGTTAGGGTGAATACTAGGTCTTTTGTTGAGACCCGGATTCACCTATTAACGTCCATTAAGAAGGCGAGAAGAGAATAGAATGAAAACAATAATGTTTTTTCATCTTAAGAAAAAACTACGTTTTCGTAGACAAGTCATTATAGTAAAACACTCACAGACACGAAAAATGGGAACCTTAAAAAGTTTAATATATTTTGTTCCACAACTAGAAATCTTCCGTCAACTAGATTGGACCAACAAAAGACATTCAGATAATTAAAAATAGATGAAGAATATTTTAATCTTAACCATGTAAGATTCGCTGATGACATAGTCCTAATTGTCAATAGTCCCGAAGAACTAAAAACACAAATTTTAAGAACTAAATACAGCAGCAATAAAGTAGATTTCAAAATGGATTTAACAAAAACTAAAGTAATGTACAACGAACTAGTAGGCAGACAAGACATTCAAATAAATAACACAAAACTGGAAATAGTAGAAAAATACATATATTTGGGACAACTAATGCACACCTCGGGATCTCTACTACCAGAAATCAACCATAGAATTAAGTGAGCATGAAGTACTTATGGAAGAAACTCCATCATATTCAAATCTAGAATGCCACTTTATCTAAAGAAGAAAATATTCGACCAATTGTACTACCAGTCTTGACCTATGCATGCGAAACTCGGACTCTTAAGCCCACAGCCACACAGAAAGCGTTTTTAGCGTTTTGCATTTTTTGCGTCTCAAGCGCTTTTTGCGATTTTACCGTTTAAGCGCTTTTTTCGATTTGTGTCCATTAAAAATACGCAAAAGACGCAGGTCTGCAGTTTCTATCAATATGTCAATTAGTAACGTCGCAAGCTCGTGGATTCCCGGCCCGTCCAACAATCAATCCTGTGAGAAAGAGATAGGCGAGATCGGCGCCGTTAGCGTTGAAGAGACGAAGATAAAAGATGCTGGGATTGAATTGTGGACGGGCCGGGGCTTATATTCGGAGACAAACACAATCTACTGCTAGTGCCAGTGGTGTGTGTAAAAATAATAATTATTATTTGCCATTTATTTTACGAATTTTAGTTTATATGTGTATAGTTTTTTGTTGTAGTGTTGTGGTTAGTACTTGTTATAATTATAATATAATAAATAATTATAATTATATAATAGAATAGTAAATATCTCTAGTTGCTAATGCAATTTTAGGACATGATTTATGAAACATTTTGGAGTGAAACTTCTTTACGCGCGCTGGGAGTAAAAATTCAAAGCCGTGACATACGAGCTAGTGAGACGGCCCTGACACACGAGCTCGTTGTAACGAAACGTGTTAACGGCTTAGAAATACGTAGTGACGCGACGCGTATTTGTGAGCAGTCTACGTGTTTATCAAAAATATCGATATTTTGATACAAATTTTGTAAAAGTGAATCAAATTATTACACGTAAAAAACTATTTTTATTATTTTACGCGAATAAAACTGTTACACGTAAACAACCATTTTTTACGCGTATAAATCTATTTGTTACTGGTAGAAAACTATTTTTTACGCGTATAAAACTATTTCTTACTGGTAGAAAACTATTTTTTACGCGTATAAAACTATTTGTTACGTGTAAAAATCTATTTGTTATACGTAAAAATCTCTTTTTTTATGCGTCAAAAACTTATTGTTTCTGGTAGAAAACCTTTCTTACGCAAAAAAAATATTTTTTACGTGTAAAAAACTATTTGTTACACGTAAAAAACTAATTTTTACGCGTCAAAAACTTATTGTTTCTGGTAAAAAAACTTTTTTACCCCAAAAAAAATATCTTTTACGTTTAAAAAACTATTTGTTACACGTAAAAAATTATTTTTTACGCGTCAAAAACTTATTGTTTCTGGTAGAAAACCTTTCTTACGCAAAAAAAATATTTTTACGTGTAAAAAACTATTTGTTACACGTAAAAAACTAATTTTTACGCGTCAAAAACTTATTGTTTCTGGTAAAAAAACTTTTTTACCCCAAAAAAAAATTTTTACGTGTAAAAAACTATTTGTTACACGTAAAAAATTATTTTTTTACGCGTCAAAAACTTATTGTTTCTGGTAAAAAACCTTTTGTTACGCAAAAAAAATATATTTTACGTGTAAGAAAATATTCCTTTAATTTATTACTTTTTCAACATTTCAAACTACACTTTGAATTTAATAGAATCTTCCTAAACAGTAGATGTTCTTTATAAAAATATTTTTAGATAATACCCTAAAATGAAAAAAAAATGCATACTATTTAATTTATTTTTACTCTATTATTAAATATAACGTCCGCCTATGACGGGGTCTCGTCTTAGAAAACGCTAAAGACGCTACAGAAAACAAACTGATTTGTTTTCATTTGAGTTTTTTGCGAGACACACCGAACGCTACACGCTTTTGGTGTGGCCACTCCTATATAATCCTGTTATTTTGTTTTAGTCGCTAAAGACGCTTCATTCTAAAAACGCAAAAAACGCTTTCTGTGTGGCCGTGGGCTAAAGGTTGATTCTCACTATACCTTCCGTTTCCCTTCCGTTTACATAAAATATTAGATCATGTAAATGAATAGGACAATGCACACTATCCGTTCCGTTTGCCTTCCGTTAATAGATGTCATCTACAGAAGCAAATCCCTCAAGTGGCAATGGGCAGGACACCTGGCAAAAAGGACGAACAACAGATGGACCACAAAAAGTACAGCATATTACCCTCGAGGATTTAAGAGACCTAGGGGAAGACCAAACCTGACATTGGACCATGATATTAGCAGGGATAATTTGGGCCCGCATACCCAACAATAGACAACAACAAACTACAGTACAAGTATCTAAACATTTGAGGAAGGCTACACCATAATTGGAAATGGTGAATAAGCTGAAAATGATGATGATGCTGATGATGATTTTGTTTTTATTATAATTTTGATAATTTTTAAGGAATATGTAGCTAAGTTATTTAACTTTTTAGTATCTTTTTCTAAATTAAAAATGAAAGTTCCATCTGTCAATTATGTGAGGAAAAAGAAAATGTTGATATTTTGGTGAAAGTTTCAAACACCCTACACAACTACACTAACAATTTATTTACATTATTAAAGTCACATAATAAAATTACAATTCATCGAAATTCAAGATAAGATCCTACAATATATTTCTGCGTAGGCTACTTAAGGCATTTTTTGCACTGCTCGTAGTGCTGCTTTAGTTTTTTTTCATATTTCCTCCATTTTAATGGAAACGTACTCGAACGTATGCCGAATTTGTGCGAAAGGTGTTTTTTGATAAAAAGCTGTGTGAACTCGATTGACAACAACAGTCAATTTATAAACATGTCAAAATTGATAAAAGCTGTTGCCTTTTCTTTAATGGACGTTCGAAAAGAAGGTAAAAAGAACTGTTTTTTTTCTTTTTTGCACTTAATTAAACCTAAATAATATTAGTTTATGGCAATTTATTTGAAGGCAACAAAAATTGTATTTTTACATTTTTGCTTGTCACTCTTTAAGACTTTTAACTACTTTCCCTTTCAAATCCTCTTAAACGGCATGATAATACTTGTTGCTGAAAGTATATTGCATATAAATTAATTGCCATTGGCTGCCGCGAATTGCCGCCGGATCTTATACCGGGTGGTTAAAGATTGACTTTTTGTCTTAAAATAAAAGTAACTTATTTTTTCCTCTCCGTGTCAATTTATTTCGTGGACACACTGTATACCAATTGACAATAAAATTGTATTTATAAAATGAAACAACAGTCTCTTCTATATTTTCAACATTTAAAATAAATTTGACCTCTTCAATATGAAAAAACATTTACATATTTGCAAACATAATCTGTATACATTTCCGAATAGTTAGAACTTAAAATGCAAATCACACGAACCGGGCCCATTTTTTTAATACATATTACATTAAGTTTTTTATATACATTTATTTAGCATTTGTTATCAATTTCTATTAAAAAAGGTGCAGTCAAGCTATATCTAGATATCTAACAGTTATGACCGCGCAGCTAATTAAGGGGAACCACTGTGCGCCGCCGCCGGCACACGAACGCATTAAACAAGTTGCAACAGAGATACCTTAGACAACTGTTAAGAATCAAATGATACCACCACGTCTAAAACGTGTCAGTCCTTGAACAAGCTAGCTGCAAAAGCGCTGAAGTTATGATTACTAAATCCCGCTTAAGATGGGCTGGCCACGCATGCAGGATACAAGAAAACCACCTACCGTAGAGTAAGAGGAAACCGGGTGGACAACTCAAAAGACACAAAGATGTTTTCCTTGAAAACTTAAATGGGATAAACATGCAGAATCAGTCGGAGGAAACAGCGCACAATAGAACGCAATGGAGAACAATTATTGTAAACTCAGTTAACAAGGACAACCATAAAGTAAAGAGGCAACAAAGTAATGAGATTTTTGAATGTCCGTAGTGCGGAAGAGAGATAACATCACGTATCAGGCTTTTCAGTCACAGAAAAGCTCATGAAGGAAAACGCCTTGCATAAACATCTTCTGATGCCTGTCGAATACTCGTTAGCGAGTAATGGCAGTAAGTAAGTTTAAATAAGGTTTTTTAGGTTTAAAACATGACTGTGATGAGTTATTATTTTATTTTGTTCTAGTATATGCCTAAGGTTTCAAAGCAAAACATTATTCTTCTTTTATAGGTGTCAAAGGAAACCTATCAACTATAACTAGCGCCATTCTGGAGCTAGTATTTGTTATCATAGTATCAGTTGAAGGGGCAAGTATTGGCTCTAACGCAACGGACGCATTAAATGCTGTCATCGCTGCATCCGTTCAAATAGTTGCATATTTATCAGGATCTGGAGTACTGAGTGGTATATTAGTGGTAAGATTTAAAAAAAAATCTGCACAATTTATTATGTATCCTAGACGGTCACTCAATGTCTCGAAATAGCTCCATATTAAGTGTTATATTTCAGACGTTTCTATAGATCTTTTTATTTTTATTTTTCAATTTCGACAATGACTTAGGTCAAAAATATTTTATAAAAGATATTTGATGAAAAAATTGACAGTGTTAATACAATATTTTATAAAATCCCACATATTACACTGTCAAATTTTTTGACAAAATAAAATCTTTGACAAAGAAATTTGATAGTGTAATACTGGACTTACTTAACAATCATCAAAATTTTACGTACTTCTAGAAGTCTCCCAAACTTCAATTTTGAAATTTAGTTAGCGTTTCTTAGCAACGAAAAAAAAAAATTAAAATCCCGAAAATTCATTGCTGAAATGAAAAATAATGATTATTAAACAAAGCGTCTCGCTGCTACTTGTAACTGAGTGTCCAGTCGACATGAAGTTGCAGAAAAAGTTTTGATTTCTTTGGTTTGGACTCTTTTTAGATATTCTCTAGTTTTTATAATTCTACTGCTTTAAACGTCTTGATTTTGAAATATAATGCCTCGCGTAAAATGTCCAGTTAGCTTCTCTATCGAATGACTCGTAATATTATACGTACGATTTTTGTTCTATAGCTTTGATTGTCATTATTGGTTTCATGATTTAAAGGCTTACTTATTTATTTTCTGATGTTATTTTAAAAAATATACCATACCATCGAAAAAAAAACGGCGTCAAATACTGCTGGGGAATGACAATTGATAATAATTTTGGCGAGGTCAAGACCTAGACGTGTTATTTGGCTCTGGCTCTCTTTATTTTTTAATGGCGCTTACTGCCAGTTGGCATTAATATAGTTCTAATTTATTTTTCCATTGAGTAAAAATGTTTTTTAAATGCTTCGTATTAACGTTCTATCCTTTTTTAATCGTTATATTATAATTAGTGTTAATTTTGACAAGTTTTATGTCAATTTTTAGTAATTGACGTCTAGAAATTGACCTCGCCAAAATTACCATCAATTGTCATTCCCCAGCCGTCTTTGATACCGTTTTTTCTTTGTTCATACTGTATTAACCTTTTACTCTATGGTATTACCCGAGAAAAAAAGGATGGTGACCTACAAAAAAAAGTGAAGTGCAAAGTCTCACAACGCACTTCTTTCACTACAACGAATTGTGAGATCTGATGAAAAACCAAGACAATTATTAATATATTAGTTGTAGAATGTAGAATGAGTGGAAAGTTAATCACCACGCCCTTAAAAAGATCTGTTATGTTCCCCTTTCTGGAATTGTAACTCATCATACAGTCTATAACTCATCCCATATGGGGATCTTCCTATTGTAGGGGAGGGTAGGGTATTTTCCATCTTTATTCATCCTCCGAGGAGTGGACATCTACCTCCTACGAGGGTATACACCCTTCCACGTTTGGAATCTAGCCGTCCGTTCCCTTCACACCACTAAATGTCCTTCTAGTCTGGATGCCTGCTCACCAAGGGATAGAAGGCAATGAAAAAGGAAATGATCTAGCTTGAAAAGGAGCGAACACTCCACTCACTGAACCAGAACGTTCTGCTTTCCACGTGAAAACCAACTTAAAGCAGAACTGAAGAATCTGAAAGACTCCATCCCTAACCTGAAATGAGGGTCATCTAACGGTCTAAGATACTCAAAAAAGTTCCTCAGAACTTACGACCGAGAAAAATCAAAGATTTTCCTTGATTTAAGTAAAAACAATCTTCGGATTGTCACGGGGTTTCTAACAGGACACTGACTGTCTTCTCAACGAACACCTCAGTAGGCTGAAGCTAAGAGACAACGGCGATTGCAGATTCTGTGGGGAAAATGGGGAAACACCACCTAATCACTGAGTGCGCCGAGACGACGACCGTTTGTACCATGAACTATCTGAACTAGCTGATGTCGAGGATGGAGAGCTGGCCTCTGTGGAACCGTCTCAGATACTGGCTTTTGTTAAAGCCCTGAGACTGTATGATGAGTTGTAAGTCGTTATAACTCAAGAAAGGTGAACACACAATAGATATCTAAGGTCGCGGTGATTAAGTCCCCTCCTAAACATTCTACATTCTACATTCCCTTCATACTAGAGATCTTTGTATCCGACTGAGGTAACCGTGAAGTGGAGGCTGGAGGACATGTCTCCATTTCCTCCACCTCTTTAACTTGGTCTCTCCTTAGGCCTAATACCGGTGTTGTCCCGAATCTGTGATAGAGGATATATTCCTCTTTCTCTATAGCCTCCTAGGATTTGAGGTCAATTCCTATTGTGACGACCTGATCATGGCCCTCCTCCCTCGAGTTGATGACTCGCCAACTCGATGTCCTTACATTGGAGGTTTGACAAAGCTGGTTGTACGTCCTTGCTTGCCTACAGGTGTTGGACACGGTTTTCCATCCTGGCTTTTTCTCTCATTGTTTCCTCTCGTTGCTGCCTTCTAACTTACTAAAATCACTGACTTGGTTTTACGTGAGATCTCACAACTTTTTGTAATATAAGAATTGCGTTACGAGACTCGGCATTTTTTGTTTTTAATTACATTACAATATATCACATTATATTATGTTTCAGCTCTTTGCCTCAGGAGCAATATCCGTAGGAGGAGGAATTGTATTTATAGCATACGTATTTGTCGGTATCGCCAAGGTAGTCAGCGTTATCGGAGGTAAATATCTGTATAAGTTTGAAAAATAAACCTTAACATTAATTTTAATCTAATCTTCAGGTGGTATCCAAGTGTTGATCAGCAAAAGCATAAGCTTGAACTTCGAAGTCCTTTTCTCCCAAGCCAGCGGCATTGTTAAATTTGTGCAAATTGTTTTAAGCCTCTCTGCTGTAGTGTCTGTTACTGCACTACAAAGTATTACAGTCAGACAGTTCTTAGAGATCATAGTAGCCCTTGGTGGATTCAGTTCCAGCGGTACAAACGGTGTCTTTTTGGTAAGTTTATAAGTTCTTTTTGGAAATTATTAATTGATTTATTAAATCACTAAATAAATATTTGACTTACAAGCAATACTATGTTAGGTAATTTTTCTTTTTCTTTGTGAAAAAAAAACTTTAAAAAAATGTTTTAGCTAAATGGTTAAAAATTGCTACACTTATGTAAAATTACAAAAGATATAACTTTTTTACAAAAAAAACTTCTCCACTATGATCTAAATTCTTCCCGAAGAAGTTAACATACCGTGCTGGCAACTGTTACTTTTGAGTCGGCATTTACATGTGTGGAAGTAAATTGCATAGGGATCTTATTAAGTCGGAGTGAGGGAAATGCGACGGTGTGCTGTTGCGGCGTTGCCGGTACGCCTTTCCCTATCAAGTAAAGTAAAACCACGATCGCAAACCGCTTATTTTTAAAAAACTTTTTTTTCAAGAGATAAGTAGATAAAATCATTAGACATGTTTCTGAGCATCTGAAATGGAATTATAAGGATATCGTTAGGGTGTCATTTTTTCATAACGAGAAAACGTCAGTAATCGCGATAATTTAAAAACTCAACTTTTTAAAACATAACATATGTTTACATAAGAAAAATTCGATAAGGTTGTTTTTCCATTCAAGAATTGTAAACAATCCATCCATTTACTTTTAGAGCATAGCAATTTTCAGCAATCGTGTAATTTTTTTATTGATAAAGATTTTCACATACTGTCTACAAAGAAAATACAGCAGAAATATTAAAAAAGTTCTTGAAAAAACTACAATCTATTATTTCTAATAGATTTCAAGATATCGATTTTTAAATTCAGAGTTCTAATAGCGCGACCACTATCGAACACCCACTCAATTCCGCTTATTTTTACCAAAATGCAAGTGTTTCTAGCTTGCACTTAAAAAAATTCAAGCTATAGGGAAAATTACAACAACTCGTTGATAAATAAACAAATTAAATATCACGAGACGTAATTAAATCGTGAAGCTGAACGCATGACGTACACCTTTCCCTAGAACTTTAAGTACTGACAGAGGTATTGATTGGGTCGACCGGTCAACTGCGGCAAATCTGCTATATGCACAGTTTCTCGGTTTATTTCATACGTTTGGCAACATGTTTACTGTCCTCTCTTTGTTCAATACATTATAAACGCATTGTACTCTTCTTACATACGGAAATCTCGACCCAAGACTAACCTTTGCCAGCCCTTAGTATAAACAGACCTCGAAAAGGTCATAAAACGGGACCAACAAGTTAAATTATTTTATGTCATCTGTACTCTAATTCAAAGCAAAAACGAAAGTAAAATATCTTAAGCCAAAAAACTAAAGTGAACTTAATATGTGACACCATATTTATTTCTTTATTATAGATCTTGTACCTATACGTCAATGTTACCCAAGACAATCTTGCTGTATTCATAGTGTGGCTATTAAGATTCTCTGCCTCAAAATCAGTAGCCATATCACTTGAATCTGATTTGGCAATATTCGTCGAACTGCAGTCCAGAGTTAATATTAGTTCTGCCATAAGTACCTTCGTTTCATCTGTATCTAATAGCAGTTCAATATCTATTGGTAAGTAAATATTTAGCTTTCATATTTTTGAATTTGATGCTTGTTTGGTGCTTTTTTCTGCTAAACATTTTATGTGGTTTATTAATGGCTAAGAGAAGTCTTAAACGTCAGTGGCGGCTTAGGGAGGTCAATATCTAAAAATATTGCCTCGATTTTTTTAAAACGAGCCCTTGGACGCGCCCAAATTTAATTGGTTTCTTACAAGGTATTTTTTAAAGGAAAATAAATATAAATTCGGTTAAAATGAAACCTACCCTTAATTTTTAAACAGGTGGTCTAGTGCCATTTCACTAAAAATCCAGTCAATGTTCTTTACACAAATTTTCCACGGTAGGATTTAAAATACATAAATAATAATGTCACAAAAATATAAATGCATATATACAAATACACAATTCTAAAAGTTTTATTTCACATTTTTTTTATATTTTAAGCCAATGCGGCGTTTTTCGAAATTTAAGCAATTGTTTTCTTTTAACCGCACGATTTCACAAACTAAACACCATGTTCTATTACTATTTTAAAATATCTATTCCAGAATCAGTCAACCACAGTTCATCATTTATCTATAACCAGAAAATTACGAATTATTACCTACACAAATTTCGCGCTACACCTCAAACTAGATGGGATTTCTTTCGATATTAAAAATTTAAATATTCCTTTATATTGACTAAACCAAACATTATACGCGATAAACGATACAAAAACCTAGGTTGTTTTATAATTTGAGTTTTTATAAACACCCAAACTGCCCAAACGGCGAAATTTTTCCAACGACTGAAATCCTTTTATGAATGACGCGGTCAATGGCCCAATATAAACTATATCTATCGCACCTTAACCCGTTATATTTTCTATACGTAGTATACCTTACCTTGTTGGCGTTACGAGTCGCGGCATTTGGAGTTTAATACGTGCAAAACATAGTGGGAACGAAGGACAAAATGAAATTTTGACCGGCAGTAGAGAAAATAGGTAAAATAAAACGTTTTGAAGCGAAAATTGGACATATTAATGGTTTTTGGGAATAATTTAGAATATCTTAGAATGGAAAAAAGTTACTTACAAAAAGTATAATTTAAATAGGGTTTTCCTAATTTTCTTCTGATTTTTTTGGGAGGACATTGACCATTTGACCTTATGGTTAAGCCGCCACTATTAAAAGTGTATACTTTTACTTAAATTATTTTTTTTATAAAGATTAGGTGTTTTAATCATATCTATATAATTAAAGATCTAAAAATATATTTTAATATGATTATGAATTTTGTAATTTTTAGATGGTACAGTATATAAGAATATAGTTTCCATCTTAACTGCACAATCAGGTTTAAGTCTCATTGTGCAAGTTGTGGCTGCCGTAGCAGCTTCACTCTCAATTGCAGTGGTTACTTTGTTGATCAGGTTACTTATTGTACTGTTGGTGCTGCTCACAACACAAGCAGGAGTAAGTACTTAGTAACTTATTAAATCATCCATTAGTTATAATTATATATCATATGTACCATATGATAAAAAAACGGCGTCCAGTTGGCTTGGAAATGACGATCGTTGACATTTCCCGTACAATTTTACATATAAAACGACAGCGATCATCATTTCATAGCCATCACTGACAACGTTTTTTTTTCGATCATACGGTACTTTCCTGGATAGAAGATAACTAGGAAATCTCTCAGAGTAAACATATCTTTAACTCTATGGTTTTTCTTCATTTTTTAAATTAAACACCTTGTATATTATTCCCTATTGTTAGACGGAGAATTAAAAAATGAACATTTTTTGTATTTAAAGTATTTTAGAATGTTTAATATTTTTGCGGATATTCGTAATATTATATCACATATTGGTTTTTCAAGGATCATTTCTTATCAAACTCACCTAATGATTTTTGTTTTGTATTTTACCATGGAAAGAGCAATATACAGGGTGTCCCAGAAATAGGTGCAAGTATTTTAAGGGGTGGTAGATCTCGATACAAGAAACATATTTTCTCTTTATCGTTTTTCAAATAAGTCCAAAATAACGGAGTTATTTTACTTTGAAGATTTCAAAAAAAAAAGATTTTTTGCTAAAATTTTGAGAACTACTGGATCTTTTCTGGATTTTCTTTCTTGTAAATTTAATCTACTACCTATGTTGCCATATTATCAAGAAATTATTTTTTTTAAATAAAAACTTAAAAAAATTCCAAAAAAATTCCGAATTTTCCGTGTTTCTGGGGTTGAACTATAATACCAGTTAAAATACTTGCACTTATTTCTGGGACACCCTGTATAATAAAAACGCGAGTATCTGTAAAACCGCTAAAAATTTTAAAATTCTTTAAATACAAAAATCGTTTGTTTATTAATTATTCACATAACAAAAATATAATATACAGAGTGTTCTTTTTAAATACACGAAGAAAAATTATTTTTAATATTAGAAAGTTTGGCATACAATTTTGAACACTCTGTATGGTTTAAGATTATGATATTATATAAGTGTTTCTTGCCTTGAACTGCTAATATAGAAATTAATTCCACGCTATTACGATATTTATAGCAAAGTAAGCACAAACCAATTATAGTAAAAACCTGGTATAGTTTTCATTTCAGGACATTTTTTGAATTTTTCAAAATCTTTCCTCACACTTTGGACAGACTTTACGATACTCATACTCAAATTTGTCAAAAGCAAATCAAAACAAAACAGACAAGAATTGTGTTTTAAAGTGGCTACCATGACCTGGTTTGGTTTGGTTGGTCGTTTTTAATATAATATGAATATAAAAATTATATTTAACTGTTTTGTTAATCTTTTTATTCAATAACATAAACACAATTCAATTTTCAATAGTAATACCATTTGCCATATACACGAATATACCGGGTGACCAATTAAGAATGCCGGCGTCCATTCTTAATTGGCCACCCGGTATATTCGTGTATATGTATCTGTATCTCAGAAACTAGTTATCGTATAACTTTGGAACAAAAATTCTAATAAGTAAATCGACCAAGAAAAATTCCTGGAAATTATTTTCAAAAAATGTCCCCTAGGGGGTGTTTCTCTGATAGCCAATCAGAAAACAGGGTTTTTCTCAAAAATATGCATGTGAACAGGCATTTTAAATATTACTAATTAATATTAATTACTTATTAGTAATCATCGAGAAATTTGTAATTTTTTTGATATAAAGTATTTCACAAAATAAAGTGGTGGGGGAAGGTTAAACTTGCTTTTATTAGAATAAGGATAACTCTGGTTTAGATTACCCGATTTAAACAAACTAGGACTCGTTTAAAAGAGCGTTTCTTCCTTAATGATAGCCTACTACTACAATTTTTAGACCATATAAAGCGGCATTCTAACATGATTTGTACTCTTAATATCTCCGGTAAGAGAGAAGCGCTGCTTCCAGCGCTCTCTAGCTACCACGAAAAAAAATATGGAAACAAAATTTATACTGGAGATCATTAAGGAAGAAAAGCTCTTTTAAACAAGCCCTAGTTTGTTTAAATCGGGTAACCTAAACCAGAGTTATCCTTATTTTAATAAAAGCAAGTTTAACCTTCTCCCACCACTTTATCTTATGCGATAGAGCAAAATACTCTATATCAAAAAAAATACAAATTTCTCGATGATTACAGTAGTAAAATGTTTAAAATAATTGTTCACCTGTATATTTTTGAGAAAAGCCCTGTTGTCTGATTGGCTATCAGAGAAACGCCCCCTAGCGGACATTTTTCGAACTTGAAAATAATTTCCAGCAATTTCTGTTTTGATCGATTTACTTATTAGATTTTTTTTCCCAAAGACCATTCTTAGTTGGCCACCTGGTACAGCTAGTAATTAAAATAATACTATAAATTGTTTTAGGTTAATTTATTGATCGCTGCTGGCATTACCGGAATCGCCGTAATAAACATTGGAGCTTTCTCAATTTTCACAATAGTCGCGTGGATAAGTCAAGGTGTCTCAGTGTTGTTAAAAAATATCGTAGGAGGTCTGTTCACTGCTTTTACAGCAGCGCTAGCCATCGTCGAAGTTTCAGTCACCACATTCTTACTTCAAGCTACTCCCCTTATCCTGGGTAAGACTATATTTAAACTCCTTTACTAGATAAATTCTGATTGTCAAAGGATATTTAAACTCCTTTACTAGATAAATTCTGATTGTCAAAGGAAACCTGTGTGATGGTAATTCTCACAATTTGTGTCAGAGAATATTCAAATTTAACGAATACATCCATTATTTTCAAAGAGACGTGGTTTATAACTAAAAGAAGAAAAAGGCTCAAAGCCTCGGTCTCAAATTGTTGAGACCGTGACTTTTTGACCTGACCTTGTTGTTGAGACCGAGAATCTTTTTCTTCTTTTGGATGAGAATATTGAGATTGTAATCGTGGAAATAAATATATTTTTTGACACAATTTGCTGTTACTAGGCACTATTGTAAACTGAGTTGGGGAAGAATAATAACTTAGCTAATACAACAATTGTGTCATATATATATTTACAAAAATCTAAGTACAATGTTGTGGTTTTTCCTTTTTATACTAAGGGTTGGCAAAGGTCAGTCTTGGGTCGAGACTTCCGTATGTAAGAGTACAGGGTGTCCCATTTTAGTTGAAATCATACGGTATCTCCATTATTAGTAAAGATAGGAGGATGCGGTTTGCACAAACCTGTCCCACTTTTTTGTCAAACGGAAGACGCTGTCAACAAATTTTTCATAACCCTCTTCGTTTCTGAGCTACAGGGTCTTTTCGAAAATTTTGCAATTTGGGACAGCCCTCGTATCTCCGTTATTATGGATGATATGGAGAAGGTAAAAACTCATTCTTTTTGAACTTTTTACGTAAAATACAGTGACGTAGTCTGTTTTTCTACGAAAAAAATATTTTTGAAGATATGAACTAAAGTTATGTTTTTTCAAATGGAACACCCTGTATATTTATAAATCACATGATCCGCGCTGCTATAAGCTTCTCAAAAATATATCTCACTCTATATTTATTTTCACTATTTACTGCAATATATCATTTTCTTATTAGTAGGCTGTGATAAATAACAAAAAATCAAAATGGTATTTACTAAAATAGTCATACAAATATTAAAATTTTATTTGGAATTGATATATTTTACTTTTGAACTGTTACCACTGAATATCTGACTATATATAAAGGAATTTATTATAACGAGATGGGTTTGCAAATATCTAAAAGCTTGCATTATTAAAGCATTTTCCAGGGGTTCGACATTGTGTTAGTTGCCACGATATATTTCATATTTCAAAAATCCTCAAAATCAGAAATCAAGAACGGACAAATCCGGGAATAAGGGAGGCCATCATATGGGTCCATAGGTTTCAATTCATTGATTTGAGAAATAATAATTTAATAAAATTCTAATATTTTCGTTGTAAGTTAAGTTGTGAGGTGGAGCTCCATCTTGCTGAAAGTATATTTCAGGTAAATTCGCTAAAGGAATATTATTTAAAAGTGCCGATACGATAGCTTCCAAGATTTACGAACAGCGGTAGATAATTAAGTTTCACTAATATATACAGAATTTATTAGTGGCTCTAATAAGTGTATACTTTTAATAATTCTTTAGTTTCTTTTATTATCAATCATGGCCTACTAATAAATTTGATCTTTTAATATATTTTTTTAAATATTGCACTAAATAGTGAAAATAAATATAGAGTGATATATATTTTTGAGAAGCTTATGGCAAGCCAGATCATATAATTTATAAATATACAGCGTGTTCCATTTAAGAAAACATAACTTAAGTTCATATCTTTAAAAATATTTTTTTCGTAGAATATCAGACTACACCACTGTATTCTACGTAAAAAGTTCTACAACAAACAGTTTTAACCTTCTCGATACCTTTAACAATAACAGAGATACAGGGGGTGTCCCAAATTGCAAAATTTTCAAAAAGACCCTGTAACTCAGAAACAAAGAGGGCTATGAAAATTTTGTTTACGGCATCTTTCGTTTGACAAAAAAGTGGCACAGGTTTGTTCAAACCGCACCCTTCTATCTTTACTAATAACGGAGATACCGTATGATTTCAACCAAAATGGGACACCCTGTACAATGCGTTTATAATGTACAGAACAAAGAGAGGACAGTAAACACGTTGCCAAACGTATGAAATAAACCGAGAAACTGTGCACATCGCTAAGAGACGTGGAAGGGGATATAGCAGATTTGTCGCAGTTGACCGGTCGACCCAATCAATACTTCAGTACTTAAAGTCAGTTAGTACTTAAAGTTCTAGAGAAAGGTCATGCGTTCAGCTTCACGATTTAATTACGTCTCGTGATACTTAATTTGTTTATTTATTAACTAGTCGTGGTAATTTTCCCTATATCTTAATTTTTTTTAAGTGCAAGCTAGAAGCACTTGCATTTTTGGTAAAAATAAGTGGAATTGAATGGGTGTTCGATAGCGGTCATGCTATTAGAACTCTGAATTCAAAAATCCATATCTCGAAATCTATTAGAAATAATAGATTGTAGTTTTTTCAAGAACTTTGTTAATATTTCTGGTGTATTTTCTTTGTGGAGAGTATGTGAAAATCTTTATCAATAAAAAAAATACACGATTGCTGAAAATTGCTATGCTCTAAAAGTTAATGGATGGATTGTTTACAATTTTTGAATGGAAAAAACAACCTTATTGATTTTACATACATGTAACATATTGTAAAATATCCGATCTTGAAAATAAAAAAAAGTTTCAATATCTACAGTGGTTCTTGAGTTATAGCCTGTTATGTGTTAAAAAGTTGAGTTTTTAAATTATCGCGATTACTGACGTTTTCTCGTTATAAAAAAATTACACCCTAACGATATGCTTATAATTCCATTTCAGATGATCATAAACATGTCTAATGATTTTATCTAATCGTCTCTTGAAAAAAGTCTTTTAAAAATAAGCGGTTTGCGATCGTGATTTTACATTACTTGATAGGGACAGGCGTACCGGAAACGCCGCAACAGCACACCGTCGCATTTCTCTCACTCCGACTTAATAAGATCCCTATGCGATTTACTTCCACACATGTAAATGCCGACCCAAAAGTAACAGTTGCCAGCACGGTATGTTTTTTTTTTCAGTGAATAGCTATGTTCTTATTACTATTCTTAGCTAGTATGTTTAAATAAACTAATAATACACCCCTTAATAGGTTTATAATTATTAAACTTATGTGTTTCAGCGTTCTTCAAATTCTTGACAAACTCATCGCTCATTGTTGCTTCGCAATCTGACGTTAGCATTGTGTCTGGTATCAGTGCAAGCGTTAACAGCAGCTTCTCCTTCAGTTTTTCATCAAACTTCAGTAAGTATTAGAAATGTTCATACCCATTTTCCTATTTTTAGTTCCAAAGAAAAACAATATAATTAAAATTTGAAAGATATTATAAGAAATTTGAAGAACAGACGCATAGTTCCTATTATTGGTGATAAGCACTATTATTTCTAAAAATGCAGTATTTTGTATTAAAATTCAGATGCAAAAAATATACATTTTTTAATTTGTTGTTCTATTTTCATATTTTTCTTAGTAAACTGTATCTTTCAAATATACCATATGTTTCCAGATTGTCTATACAAGAGGAAAAACTTTTTTACTGTTGACATTTTCAGAAAAATGCATTCTTCATAAAAAATTTTGCTAAAATGATTAATCCCGTTTATACTTTTCCAAAGTTCCATCCCGTTTTAGAGAAAATTAAGAAAAACATGAAATATGGTTGTATTTTTCTATAGTAATATAATTTCGATTTCATTCTGGTGGTTATTCATAGAATTTTAATTAACGTAATATTTTTTGGTCCACTCCATTTTTTTACATTTTGGACAATTTTTTTTATGTTGTGACATTAAAAAATACATACAACCCTAAATTTTCACCTTTCTATCATCAACCCCTATTTTTTAACAAGGTTTTTTTAAAATTTCTTGTTACGTCACAAATAAAGATATTTACTAATATGATCATTTCTTTTCAGGCTCCAACTCTAGTATATCCGTTGGCTAAAAGGTAATCAACTTTTCACTTAACTTTTAATAAATTAAAAAAAATAGAAAAAAAAATTAAAACACAGAGAGAATACTAACATAATACTCTTGTTTTTCAGGGCACAGAGAAGGTACAAGATTATAAATATAATGTAATCATTAGTTTATTTTATTTTGTGGTAAAGGAAACAAGAAATAAATGGTATGCACAACAAAATAACAAACGGTGTTTCATTTTTCATATTTAAAAATCTAATACATGAGCTCCCCAAATATCAGTATATTATTATTAATAAATTTTATGTTTAAAAAACCGATATTTAAAAATTATGCATGTCTCATGTCATTCTTCATCCGAAGAGAATAATAAAATAATTCATATAAATTATTTAACTCATAATAACTTGAGCTTAAGAGTAATTATAATCTTCACACTTAAAATAAATAGGTAATTGTCATACATATATGTAATACCCCCATAAGGTTAGTGAAAACTTGAAGTGTATTACAAGAGAGTGGAACAACAACATGCAAAATAAACGTGGATAGTAGGTGATAATCAAATTAATATTGATTTATTTTAAAATTTCATGCCTCTATCTTGAATCACAACGGAGTTAATAGCTCCATTGTGAATATAGTTTTCTAGATACACAGGGTGCTCCTTAATGACATGCTAATATTTGAGGAGATGATTCTTAAACCTATTCTAAGAAAAAACTTTATATGAATATATCTCCTAAACATCTTAACTTTATAGCTACAGGCTGGTAAAATTTTCTATTTTTTTTTCAAAATATCTCTCTACAGCAAAATGCTTATTTTGATATTCAAAAAAAATTGTTTCATTTCTTAATTTCTTTCCAGCCGATCCAGAAATGATTTCCAGACAACAGTCACTGCATCATATTTTTAACGATTTGACTCTGGAATAAACTGACTTTAATTTTTTAAGCAAAAGCGCAAAAAATAAATGGAGAAAATAATATTTATTTTAATAGAAGTATTTTTCTCCAAAAATATTCAATGTAAAACCCGTATGGACGGCACTGGTTAAAATAAATAAAATTCTTTGTACAGGGTGGTCGAAATTGGTCTGTTTTAACAGAGAAAGCCTATTTCCTGAGTAGATAGAGCAAAACCGACATAGATGTCATGGGCTCGATTTCTGAGAAACGTTTAATGGCGTAAACCGCCTGTTGATATATTCACTGCCAACTGAGATACGGGGTCTTTTTGAATTTTTTTCCATTTTGTAAATTGCCCATAACTTTTTTATTTTGCGGAATAATAAAGTTCTGTAAAAACGTTATTAAGGCACTTTTTAGGCACAATCCAGTGGCGTAGTCAGTTTTTTTCTATGCTTGCTCCTTTTGTCAGAAATAATAAAAGATATTTTTTTTTTTAAATGGAAATCATAGTTGGATATGAACTTAAAAAAATGCTGGCGTTTTCCCCTTTCCAATGATCTAAAGTTATGGACATCTATTTCTAAGAATGAGAGAAATATTAGGTTTTTAATCTTTATATCGAAGCGGGCCTTGATTTTGTATTGACCTATTTGCCTAAATATTTTTTATCACAATTTAATATTCTATATTATTATTTATCTGCATAATTAAAGACTTTTGAAAAGGTAAAAATTAACATTCTATATTAGTATTAGTAATTACAATAATTGAAATCGATATACAATAAACAAAGAATAAAACTAAAAAAAAGTATTTTTTGAGTGACGAATATAGTTTTCTAAAAAAAATCATCAAAGATGTTCAAACTGAGCACCCCCATGATCAATACACAATAAACATCTTTTGCGCACAGAGTTACAACAATTTATTAGGCGAACTGGTGTAATAAGTCCAAAAGCTTGCCTAGTAGCTTTTACTTCTCTCGTCCCAATTATTCTTCCCTTATATGTATATACAGGGTGTCCCAGAAATAAGTTCAAATATTTTAACTGGTAGTATAGTTCAACACCAGAAACACGTTTATGAGGTTTTTTTCGCGAAAAAAATATTTTGAAAATTTGAAATCTTTTGAAAAAAAATTTGGAATTTTTTTTAGTTTTTAGTTAAAAAACATAATTTCTTGGTAATATGGCGAAATAGGTATTAGATTCAATTTACAAGAAAGAAAATCCAAAAAAAATCCAGTGGTTCTCAAAATTTTAGCAAAAAATTATATTAATAAATTTTAATATTAAATTTAATTTCCCCCATAAAAAAAGTTGAAATGAGTTACATCACAGGACCTAGCAGGCCAGGATATGGGATACCTTTTTCCAATCCGATTCTCTCTAAATTCTCCATTTAATAGTGCAGTTGTAACCCTGGTTTTTTAATTGTAAATGGTAATACTAATATAGAATGTTGATTTACCTTTTCAAAAGTATTTAATTGTGCAGATAAATAATGATATAGTGATAAAAAAAGCAAGTATAGGAAAAAGACTGACCAAATGGTAAAAAATTCAAAACGATTCCGTATCTCGGTTGGCAGTGAAAATATGAACAGGCGGTTTAGGCCATTAAACGTTTCTCAGAAATCGAGCCCATGACCTCTATGTCGGTTTTGCTCTATCTAGTCAAGAAAGAGGGTTTCTCTGTTAAAACAGACCAATTTCGACCACCCTGTATATATGCATAGAAGACGTGTATCAAGTTTCATAAAGATATCTGTAATAAAATAAGAAAAAAAGCTTTTTTTAGAAAAATTTACCACCCTGTATCTCAGAAATTAAAATGTTTACGACATACATTCATATGAAGTTTTTCTCTTAGAATAGGTCCAAGAATCACGCCCTTAAATATTAGCATGTCATTAAAGAACACCCTGTATGTATAGTAATTTTAAATACGTGAAGAAACTAGAAGAGGTTATACTTTGATTAAAGACTTTCCTTCTCTACTACAAGGGTGCTAGAGAATTTTTAATTATATCCTTAAACGTATTTACAACTTTAACAAAACAACCTAAACAAATATTATTAATTTTTCAGAGGTAGATATACATTTTCGCGTAAAATCACTGGCAAACCGTTTTGTACATATGATTCGTGTCATTATGGGATATCACGTCCTGCCGCAGAACAATTTTGTGTCATTAACTTCACGTTAACAACAGGCTTGTTTTATAAAAATGCACAAATAATTTCATACAACCATAGTAACTTTTTTTAGAGAGAGCTGCAGGAAAATTCATTTTTAAGAATTTAATACACTTAAATCATATATTTCGAGAATAAAAATTTAAATTTATATACAAACTGCAAGGATTTAAAAATTTGCATTTTTCAAGATGTCTCTTAACAACTTATAGTGGTTCCTGTAAAAAGAATGTAAAGGGAGGGACAGGGTATTTCTCATCCTCCTGTAACAACAGCTGGTTATCCTTCGAGGAGTGGACATCTATCTCCTACAAGGGTGTATACCCTTCCACATTTGGAATTTAGCCAGAAATTTATTGCATTTAAAATGACCAAAGTTATGCTTTGTATTACTTTTATGTTTAATTCATTAATATTTTTTTTGCTTTACATACTCACCATACATTTACAGCAGATTCGTATAAAATTTCAGTGAGTCAAGTATTGGTCTTTGCATAATATTTCTTACTATGGAATACTTTTCTTCTAGATTGATATTTTATTGAGTGAGTAGGAACGTTAATAAGTTATAGTGAAAAACTAAACTCATTACTAAATTGTATGGGCACATATAAAATATAGATAATATTTTATTTTAATAAATTTCAATATATTGATTTATCAAAACACCTTTATTCTTCTAACAATATTATTTATATTTTTTTGTTGTGTATCTACACTCAGATGCAAAAAAACGCAACGGAGAAAATTTCGGTCAAATTTAAAGTGTTATATTTTTGATATATTTAGCCCTATTTTCATGATTTTTTTAGCAAGCTGTATATAATTATACAGGGTGGCCCATCGAAAACGTTCCGCAAGGCATAACGGCCAGGATATTTTTTTTCAAAAAATCCAAAAACACGTCAATTTTGTTTGTGAAGGGGACAACTTTTGCCCCAAAAATGATTGCAAAATCTTCAACCCTCTAAGCGGGGGTGTCATCCCCCAACTTTTTTCAAATGGGAAGGGGGGTCAAGTGGCGCCGCAATGAAAAGAGCTTTCTATTCTCTATATTTCCCCGCTTCGTTTTTGAAAATCGGTCCAGTCATTGAGAAAATATGAAGGATTGAAATTTGAAAAGTTTATTTAAACATTTATCAGAGTGTTAGTTAGTTTTTTTTATTTATTTTTTATTACGCATTTTTTCACTTTCCACAAGGTTGAACGATCAGGTGCGGTCTCAATATCGTTAAACTGACTTACAATAGAATTTCCAAAAAATACCAGCCCGCGAAGATCAAAATCGTCTTCGTTGAGTTCTTGTACCAACTGAATTTTGTACGGGTGGAACTTGTGTTTTTTAATATCCTTTGAACACTTGTACGATTCACGCCGGTTTCATTGGCTAATTTTCTTGTACTCAGCGTACAACTTAACAAGTATAGCTAGGGACGTGAGAAATATAAAATAACACGCGACCGGTGCTATCCCCAAGTCTCTTCCTATATTTGTACAACTGTCCTTATCTTGGCAACTTGGCCCAATACGAATATCTCCATAGCTTCATTTACTACAGGATTTTCCCTCTGCCTCTTTTTATTCATAACGGAACCAGTTTCGCGAAATTTTGCTACTAACTCTCGAACAAGTTTGCCATAAAGGTGTTTGTCATGATGGCGTTCATTGAATATCTGCGCAACCCGATTGCCACATTCATTATTTTTAAAATAAAGTTCGATTATTTCCACTTTTTCTCCAAGTGAGTACACCATAATTGTTAAAAAGTTTAACGATATTGAGAAGAACTTCAACGCACAAGTCAGAGTACAGCTATCTAGCAACTACCGCACCTGATCGTTCAACCTTGTGGCAAGTGCAAAAATGCGTAAACATCTAGAAATAATAAGAAAAAATAGCAAATTGGTCGAAGGAATTTATCCTTATCATTTACTCTGATAAATGTTTAAATAAACTTTTCAAATTTCACTCCTTCATATTTTCTCAATGCCTCGACCGATTTTCAAAAACAAAGCGCGGAAATATAGAGAATAGAAAGCTCGTTTCATTGCAGCACCACTTAGCCCCCCTTCCCATTTGAAAAAAGTTGGGGGATGACACCCCCGCTTAGAG